TCCAGTTTGGAGTTTCCCAATACAGGAAAGATGATGTAAACTGTCGCAAGTGCGGCAGAGGGCCACCAAGGTGGAGGGAGCAGGGGGCAGTTGCCCTGTAGGGGGAGGCAGAAGAATGGGGCAGGTTCAGCTGGGGAAGAGGGGTCTTTGTAGGCACCTGGTAGCAGCCTTTTAACACTTAGGAGGAGACTGTGAAGATGATGGAGCTCAGCTCTACACAGTGGTGAGCTGAAGGAAGGTAAGAGAGGGCATAAACTGAAACGAGAGGTTCAGAACTGAGAGAAGAACAGTTTTCACCATGAAGACAGTCAGCAGTGAAACAGGTTGCTCAGAGCAACTGTGCAGTCTCCACTCTGAGATTTTCAAGATCAGATTGGAAGAAGCTCTGAGCAACCTGGTGTGATTTCATACCTGACCCTGCCTGGAGCAGAAGCATGGACTACAGATTTCCTGAGCTCCCTTTCAATTTTAATAATCCTGTGATCCTATTGCTCTGTGAAACACAATCCGGTTTTATTTCAGGTCTGAGCTAAAAATTTTCAGTACTATTAACCTGTGGAAATGCACTTTTGCACAATTAAGAGGAATTGCAGAATTTCACGTCACAGAGCTATGTTTTGAGCTATGACAATACTTTTTACACGAAAAAACACACTAGATTTCTTTTCAATGGGTAGAAAAAGTTGAAGCGGGCCTTTGTCTAGCAGTAGCTAAGCAAACCCAACATTTATACCTTTTTATTAGCTTTAATATTAGCTTTAATATTAGCTTTTATATTATAGTTACAGGTACATTTCATGTACCTGTAACTATAGGGGAGGTCCACCAGCCTGAATCAATGCTCACCAGCTGTAAAGGGGTTCTCACCTTGACTAGTCCCCTTGGGTTTAGTGAACCAGAACTGTTACTGAAGGCACAGTAATGTTTGCGGTATAAAGAGACTGTATGCACACACCGCAGAAGCAGAAGTTTGACCAAAGGATCCCTGGCAGGCTTCTACATTGCACCTTTAGCAACTGTGTAGGTCAGACTGACCCATCCTGAAGACCCACACAGAGCAACCTACAGGCATCTCAGGCACTTCCCTGAACTGCAGCTGTTTCAACCTTGCTGGCTGAACCTCTTCTGCAGAGAAAGAGAAATGTGTGGTAGAGCTCAGTGCTCTCTGTGGACAGTGGTGAAAACTAGTAGCACCCAGAAATACGAATATAGAAATGCCTGCCATGTCAAAGCAAAGAACTTAAACAGCAGAAAGCTCCCATGCTCTAAAAAGTGCATCCATGCAGTACAGATATTCTCTCAGAAGTACATCTTTATATGATAACTCACAGGAAGGAGACTCTCCAAGATTATGAAATGGAAAGACAAACATAACTATTGTTTCATCTTGAAAAGCACTTGGAAAGCTTCCCTTGAGGGGACTGCAGTCAATTCATTTTTGTGGAGGAGAAAAGTTCTCCCCACTGGCAGGTAGATAGCTTATGCTTCAGCAAGGGAGGAAGGGCGTGCTGCTCACACGTATGCCAGCAATTTGCCGTCAGGGAGAAAGTAGGTAATGAGACTGGACAGACTGTATAAATACCAAAAGCCCAAAACATAGCAAAGGAAGAATCAGGGACATAGAAGGTAGAACAGAAAATACCAAGAGGATGTTATACTATATATGAATTCTCTTAGGATCCCGTATTAGAAAGGATAGGATTATCTTACAAGAACAATAGGAAGAGAGACGAGGCTGTTGAGAAAATAAGGATTGATTAAGTGAGGATTTAGGGGCCAGCAAGAATGGAGAAGGGACTAAGAAGGCAAAACATCTCCTTAGAAGAAGGGTGGGTGAGAGAAAAGAGAGAAAAGGCTTAGAAAAAAACCAAAATGAGGCAAGACAACAAGATCTGTGTTTGCACAAGCTCTTGATTCAAGGGGAATAGCTCCTCTGCAGTAAAAAAATCTCTTTGCTGCATCCCTCATTATTTCACTCGGGATCTGCTGGAGTCTATGCTGAAGTCTATTGTAACATGGTCATTACCTTGGCCATAGCACCTCCTCTCATCTGTACAGCAGTAATGTTGGCTGAATCATGCAAACACCATATACATGGTGGAGCTTTCTTAGAGGACTTCAAGTCCAGGGCACATGTGGTTGGCATAGCTACCCCAGGGTACTGGAACTAACCCCATTATTACGGTACAGCATCGGGCTTTGTCACATGGTCTACCCTTTTCCCTCCAGGAAGAGCAAGTGATCATTTCTAGTTTTATTATTGCATTATATATTATTTTATTATTGCATTACAGCATAGATCAGTTACTGCAGAAAATAAAATGATGCTGCTAAGTTTGTATGTGCCATTGAGGACAAACTGCTTGCATACCGTCACTAGAGCTGGTCGCACAAGGTGAGAGCAGGAGCCATGCTTGAGTGAGAGTCTCAGGGGCTGGCAAAGGGAGGCCACAGCCCTCCAGGCTCTCTACCAGCAAAGGCAGAAGCAGGATAAGAAAATCGGGTGGTTGGCACGGGCAAAAAGGCAGACCCTGGCTGGGGAAAAGAAGCGTATGAAGGGATGTCCCAGAACTCTCTGAGGATGTGCCAGTACACAGGGCAAAACCAGGAATGGCTGGAGGGTCAAGGGCTGGGAAAGTCATGGGGTAAACACGCTACCCTGCCATCCCAAAACTATCACTGTAGATCCTGATACAGTACTGCTGCTAAAATAGCAGTAGTAGAGCATCATTAAAATGTGCTCAACAACTCCCACCTCTACCAGCTTCCTAAGGCACTAAAGGCAAATTCTGATTTCTGTCCTGTCAGTGATTTTGTCTCATCTTTTGTACAGCTCCAGATGCTCCCTAAAACAGAGCAAGTAATATTTTTGCTTCCCATTTCAGTTATTTTAAAGTTTCCTTATTTGCAACAGCCACTTCTTTAAAGATTCGATTCTAAATGAGGACACAGCTGCTGCCTCCTCTTTTCTCATCTCTGCATTAGCTGCAATTGGCAGTGAGCCTCAGAGCATTCTCATTTTTTCCCATTAAATATTTTGGAAAACAGAGATTACTCAGAGTTACCAAAGTGATGTTTTCAATGGCTGAGAGTTCAATAATTGACTTCCTTGAAATTTTCAACAGCTTCTAGTTACTTCTGAAGTCCCAGCCCACCAGGCAACAGCAGAAAATTATACTTTCTTTTTAAGGCTTAGCATGATGTATAACCTGCTTGTTCTTTCCCATTTCATAACAGAAAAAATTAACACAATCAATAGCAGTAGTGTGTAGGGAGCCTGCCATGTGGAGCCCACGCAGGAGTTCCTACGGCTGAATGTCAGTATCTCTCATCTTCCCAGTTTACACACACAGTATATTTTGTCCTTCTAATCCAGTAGACACCACAGCATCCTCACCTCTAAAGTCAGTGTTTCCATGCCTTTTTGGTCCAACACAGACTTCAGGATGCCTACATCCTGGACTGAAAGACTTGAGATTGCTTTGGATCACCTCAATAACCATTTGATTTTAGTTACAGATCTCAGATTACAAATAACAAGATCCGTGCCATTTCTTGCTTGCTTTTTCATAGATATCTCTCCTGTAAGACAAGACAATCTTCCTCCTTTAAGTCTGACTACATAAAACAGTTTGTTCATATCCTTGGCCACAAAGTCTTCTCAGAACAAGCATAAAGCCAGTAAAATACTTTTGATAATGTGCATCCAAAATATTAATGGAATGGTTTTACCTCAAATGTATCAAAAGATATTAGAATATTCTATGCAAAACTTTAGTTTATCCCATCAGTTTTCTCAACTCTACTTTCAATGGCACTGTACAACAAGCAGAGAATTTGAGTGCCACATACATGGCCAGCAGCTCATTTCTAATTTTTTTTTAAAATGCTGATTTACATGCTGGTTTTAAAAGACTTTAGTGGACTTACTGAGAAGGTAAAGGTGTATGTAAAAGTCATGCCCACTAAATGCTTAGCAAAGATATATATAAGCAAAGATAATATCGTACATAAAATACCAATAATGTGTCAAGGTCTCTCTTGACAATCTCTAACTTAATCAAAAATTAATAGTGTCTATTATAAACATTTAGACTTGTGAGACCAACAGACTAATCTGATGTATTTAAAGTTGGAACAACGAGGTATTTGATTTGATTGAGTCACAAAAGTCCCAGGGATAATGGAAAGGATTACTAAATCATCTAACAGCTGATGCTTGTTTAATGACAGCATTTCAGCAAATAAAAGAGAGGGACAACTAATATGATGTTTCACTTTAAACTATACATAAGAATGGCCACATGGCAAGACATACTAGTATTGGAAAGAATTATCTGGTACGATCATCAAATTGGAGGTAAGACACCAAATGACAACTGTGACATAGAATGAAGTTCCACCTTTGGCAGCTTTTTGAAACCTCATGAGTGATAAGTTATATCTTTTGCTTGCCAGGACACGACTGCTTAAAAATTCCCAGACAAGTAAAATACACTACTCAAATGCTTAAATGCTTAAAGCACACAAGTAAGGAAAGCACTGGGTAAACCACAAGTAAAATATAGCAAATCACCTTTATTAACAAGTCATTTTTTATTCCCCTGCCCCCACATTAAAAGTTGATTTTTTAGTTGTTGAAAAATGAAACTGAAAATTAAAAGCTAAAACACAAAATTGTTTAAAATATAAACTATTATTATCTGGAAAGAGCACGGCCCACTCTGAAAGAACTGTACTCTTAATTTGAAGATGCAACACAGTAAAAAGTTAGACGCAATTCCAATTACCTCTGCACTACCAGTTCTGGGTAGCAAGTGTTTCTGGAATAACAAGAATTTCATTCTCAAAGTTTAACAAATTTCTGAATTAGACTTTGGAATTAGATACAGACTTGCTGAGGTAAAGGCTTCTTTCTGAAGTACTAACTGTCTTAGTAACATTCTGCTTAAATTACAACACTACTGGACAACCAAGCTAATCTGTTTTCACCAGAACAGATAAGGAGCTGTCAAAAGTCAGGAAGAGTCCAAAGGCAGTGGTAAGGAATGGCTGCCTCCTTTTAGCTCCTGCCTAGTGATATCTGTAAGTTTTTCCAGTCCAAACTGTAGAGGACAGCCCTCCAAGAGATTAAGAGGTGGCTCTTCTACAGCCCTCTCTTCAGAGAGAGCTCACTGGTACACAGGGGAGATATCAGAAGATTTAAATGGTCTGTGAGTTTGGCTTTAAGCCCCACATGACCAAGAAGCACAAGCTCAGCACTCTGCACAGCAGAATAAAGGAATAAAATCAAACACGCAGGCCTGTCCAAGCATACAGACACAACTACTCCTTCTAACGTCAGGTGGCCTAAGACTTGGAACAAGACTGTAATACACATTCAGAAGGCAATCAGAGAAAGCTGTACGTTTAACTCTGATCTCTGTTTGACTGCACATCCTGAAACACGTCAGCACTGGCAAGCCAATTGACAGTAAAAGTTTGATAGGAATAGGAGTTTAAAAAAAATTCAGTACTCCACTTGGAATCCCAAGTACATAACCCAAGCGTCGCCAGCTTCCCACCCACCCTTGGAGCCAGTGACTAAAGCTGTCTCATTATCCTTCTCCCATCTCCCATGCCTCAGTTCCAGGATATCCACCAACCAAAACATATAAAATATTTCATATTTCCAGAACTGCAGGATTATAAAAATATTTGACATTTCAAACTTCCACCAAAGTTGCTTTAATAAGTTACATGTCAGATGTTTCACTTCCCAGAGCAGAAAACAGAAAATTCAATAATCAAAATGGCTAAAAGTTGACATAAAATATTGTGAATCTGTTTGGCACAGACAGGCCTGCTGTCTTTGCTAAAGAGCAAATCTGTTGACATTGAATACTTTAACACAGTGATCAGCTCCACAACTTGCAAGCTGCAACCACTCGCTGCTGTTCTGATCATTATGTCCAGCTCTGCCTGCATGATGTCTCCAACATAAACGCTTCACAGCAAGAGCATGACTTTGGCTGCAACAAAAAGAAATCCATACATAACTGCAAAATGTCAAACACAGTTGGGCATGTGACTGTAAACATCAACATTCATATAATTAGTACTCTTCAGTTAACACTACCAACTGAGGAAAAACTGATTTGTGACAACCAGCAGGTATTAAATTCTTAAAATAAGTAGGGCCATTAACACTAATGACATTTTATCCTCTCGCTCATCAATAATTCAAACAGCTATTGATTTCCAGTTTTACCACATTAAGCTACAGGTCTAGCATCTCAGTTACTGAGATATGACAGAGTTTTGGCTTTTAGCCTACAATTTCCTGTTATCTGGTATCCCTTCCCAATTCACTTCACACACATACAGGCCAAAGTCACCATCAACTTTCATTTCTGTTACTATCAATGCCAGTATGTGACAGAAGAATCTAGGAGAGTGCTTCAAGTGAAACATTCAAAGTCTTTCTACAGAGTCTCTCTAGCTGTCACTGCAGCAGCACCGCATAGATCTTGTCATTCCTTTGGTTTCTGGTAGAAGCTGCTCTTGAAAGCTTGCTGTCATCCACTCCAAAATGTTTTGCTGATGTATATAGACAGGGATTCTTTCCCCCGTCTCTTCAGTGTTTTTTATCATCTTATTTTATGACTTTTTTATTTTTATTTCTTTTTAAGTAGGGCCAACAAAGAGAAATATTTCTCAAAGCATTTGCATAGCATGAAGTATTTATTTTGGGGTTTAACCCCCTCTTGTTTTTTGTTCACATTCATGGGTGAGTTTTTTAATACATCTAAATGACCAATATTTTTTTTTCCCCGAGTTTTGCTTTAAGGTATCTTTACACTTTCAGGGATCAAAGGATAACAATTTTGGTATACAAATAAACCAGTTTCATATCATTTTATATATTACAAGAGCATAACTCCAGCACTATTAGTCTCAAGAATAATATTTCATTGCTCCTAACTTACTTCAAAAGACATACCTGTTACCTATCTCAACACATGTGGTCCAGTCAGCTGCTGCCAGTTCTTGTCCACTTTGCTTCCACGTGTACAAGACAATCTTCCCAATCTCTAAGCCTACTGCAACAATATATCTATCAAGAGAATAACTGCATTAGTTAACAGAAATTACAGTAGGTAGCTCAGCAAGGCCTAGTTCTAATGCAGGATAGAAAGAAGTAGCACTCAAGTACTGTTTTGCACTTGCCCTTCAAATCAGTATTTACTTTTCCATGAAAATTAATAAATCACAATTAAATCAAAGCCATTTCATTAAAAAAACCAGCAAAGCAGAAACCTGCAAAATATATTTGGTTAGGAAAAAGTAAGGAGCTTATTACAACATCAGATCAGTCAATACTGCTGGAAAAATTAATGCATTTCAGGTGTGTTCATGCCTTTCTCCCTCCCGCTCCCACTTCCTTTTTTTATTGTTACACTGTTTGGAGAAGTCACTATACAGCTGAAAAGGTGGCTAGGAAGGAAAAAAAAGTAGAGGTCGTTGAGTTAAAGAATGGTTGAAATAATTGACAGGTAGATTTCAGGAGCTGTTTAGCCACAGAACATCAGTTGACTATGAAAATATTAATTTTGAATTAAATACAAAATGACATTACAGAAAACCAGCAATACCTTCCATCGGGGGTAAGCACACGGCTGATACTAACAGCAGTTACAGAATCCCCAGCATCTAGTACTGTTGAACAAGGCTTGACTAAATCCAGCATATTCCCTTCAATATTCACAGATAAATCACACTGGCCCCAGATAACGACCTGTAAGAAAACAGAGTCATCTAGGAATTTTCACTTTGAACTTCTTGTAAATGCACTTACAAAACATAAGAAATAACTTAACTAAAGGAATTCTAGGACACAGAACAAAGTAGATGACTCTGAAAATAGTAAAAAATCTCTATCTACAAAGATTCGTCTTTGTAGACAGTCTGTCTGATATCATTAAAGTTACTGACAACAAAAACAGATTCTGTTATGAAAGTTGAAGAAAAACTTGAGACCCATAGAATTATGCGACATATGCTTGTCTTACTGCATGAAAGAAGAAGGGAGAAAGTCCAACTGGCAGCCCACAGTCTTGTGTATATATATATATATTCAAGCACTTTATTTAGCTTATGAAAGTATCACTGATTTCTGCGCTAAAACACACAATAAGACTTTTTTGTATTTATAGAAAAAGGGCTCATTAGAACAAAGCATTTGCTAATCTAAAATACATTAAAATAATTCTGGGCTTTCCAAACCTTTAATATTAATTACCTTTTTGTCCCGACTACCAGTAATAAAATACTTGCTATCTGGTGTCCAATCACAAGACCAAATGATTCGACTGTGAACAGCTGTATTTTTGTCTGTGTATGAACAGCAAGCGAAGACTGCTCCTGGAATAAAACATACAGAGCAAAACCTTGCTTCAACTACTTTACATATTAAAAGTAATCGTTACTCTTACCTAACTCTATGTAAAAACTGCAGGAATACTTGGATATAATTCCATTCCTCTTTAAAGCAACTGGGAATACTTAGGACCATATGGGTATTTTTTGCAACACTTACTACTACTAGTGATAACGAGCAACTGTTCAAGACAGTATCAGTCAGCCCTTATAGCCCTAAAACAGTAGGAAAAGTTCAATCTTTTACATACATTTCTGTTTCAGAAGAATTTAAGTCCAAGTATAACACCTTCAGGTTATTTCTATCAAGTTTTTTGTAAGAACACCGACTTCAGAAGTTTTTGAATAGTGCAACATTTACCATGTGTTCACATATTCCCAGTAATTTCACCACAGTTCTTATTTACCAGTAAAGCCCCAAGAGCTGAAATTATAATGGTCTAATTGTAAAGATTCACGTGTTCCCAAAGAGACAGGCTGCCATTTCAGCATGTATACAATTAAGAACTAAATCTGATCAGCAGATCATTAAATGGAACTGCTTTTCCTAAGTAGGAAAGGTTGCCATTTTGGAGCACAGACTTTGAATAACCACTTCTGGGGATGCCAATACCAGCACTTTCTCTTTACACTGATAATGATGTTATTTGTAGACAGAAGGGTTATTGATGAAGAGATGAAAAGAGGATTTCCTCTGCTTGCTGTGAGTATTCATGATCCTTATTCTGAAACATTGTGTAACTACTGTGGACAATATGCCAGGCTTTAGAATAGAAGTCTGAATAGAACAGAAATTCAAGCCAGGATACAACTGGACACTGTCTGAAGGGGCCAAAACTCACTGCCAAGTCTCTAGGAACATTCTATAGAGCACAGCAGTGTTTATATGCTATTAAGCCAACAGAGCAACGATAATCACTTTCAGCACAAGCATCTGGTCTAGGATTCCATTAAAGTGTTCAACAGCAATCTCCTCATGATTTTGCAAGGCTCAAAGTCTTAATGAGAGGGTCAACTGAATCCTTACTATGAGCATTTTTTCCAGACAGAGACAGTCCTAGTCAAATTAATCAATTGTGTAGGATTATCAGAAAGCCACACCAAAGACAGAGATTAATCCTGTCAAGAGTCTCAAAGTGCCATGCCCTGCAAACAGGGACAAGGCAGCTCTATGCAGGATATGGGTGTAGCAATGAACCCTCCAGCTATGCCTGCATAGAACACCGCGATGAAGGCTTTTCTTGACAGAATGCCAACTGGAAGTTCAGGCATCACACGCCAGCTTGTATACTTGATTTCAATAAGTCAAACATACAATCACATGCAGAAGGCAGAATAGTAGACTTCATTACATCCATCAATTAAACAGCATTTAAAGCCTGATTATATTCTTCTCTGCATTTTAATTTAATTTCTAGCTTTCCATACATTATTAATTGCATTTCTTAAAACCACAAGAGTCTACAACAATTAATTCTTCAAAGTTGTAAGGAAAATGTCCATTAAAATATTACATCAATTCTATTTCAAATATTCTGCAGCCAAAAATATTGAACAAACTACAAAGTCTTCAAATGTGTATATCCACTTTGCATATCTTACCTGACTCTGAGGAGTCTTCTTTCCTCCACAGTGACCAATTCCTGTCTCTAGAAACTGCTAGTAAAAATCTGTCATTAGGAGAAAATGCCAGCTGAGTAACAGTCAGATTGTGAAAAGACAAACTCTGCAGTTTTTTCCAAGAAGTAGTGCTCCACAAAATAATTGCTGCATGTTCTTTTTTGGAAGCCTGTATAGATGGAAAAAAAATATCAGTAAGAATTAATGAAAGCAAATATAAAAATCGCACATTTCAAAATACTGAGATGTTAGGGGGCTTGTTTTAAGGCTTGCAATCAAGCAAGATCCAGCTTTCCTCTGGGAATTGTCAAGATTGTTTTACTATTTTTTACTAATGCTGACAATATATCAGCAAGAAAATATTTCAGACTTATATTTGTTAGAATTTATCTTATTAGTGTCTTCAAATGAATCATACATAATTTAGGAATAATTTATTTGCATTCACTCTCACCTTTGCAAGGCAACTGCCATCTATAAAAAAATCTTTCACATTTATGTAAAAGAACAGAATTCAGCCCAAACTGAATTCTGATTTCTGCTCTGTCAGCCCTAGAAATCTGGTGGGCACTTTTCACTAGATGGTGCTAGAATCTTTTCTTACCTTACATGCTGAAGCAATTACAGTGTTTGAATTATTGCAAGCAACACAAAATATTTCATATCCATGTCCATATCTGAAATACATGTGAAAAGATATTTAATGCATCATAGCCATTTTCAGTATTACATCCCAAATAATTCCAAATAATGTTCAGCATTCAGTTTAAACATCTGCATAAATTCTTTCAGAATTAGAAACTGACTACAGAAAAATCTCTCCAGCCCATTCCATAGTCCTGCAGAAGCTACACTAATGATTAACAAAGCAAACTAAAGCAGCATTTAATGTACCCTTATTTTCTTGAAAAACAATTTTAACACTACCAATAAAAATCAGAAGCCATATATTTGAATACCACTAAAGAAATATACCAGAAACACCCAGTCTGTTCTGTGAAATACTGAAAGATTTTTGAACCAAAGGACAAGAATCATGTTGGAAAAGGAAAACACAATGATGAAAGTAGTACTGCATGGCTTACTCTTAACTTGCGACCAGCAGGAATTTTATCATAATGCTTAACTTTAAAGCACATTCCTGGAGACTATTTTGTAGTGGAAACCACTGAAAGTCAATTTTCTAAAACTAAAAAATATTTATTCCATCAAAAGCATAAATTTCCTGAAATTCCATGAAGGAAAAATAACCTGTGGAACAAGTCATGAAACAAGTCCTCGGTTGTTTTGGTTTTATCTCCTAAATGTAGTACTGAAGAGGACTTGACGGAAAGACTTCAAGCTTCTGCATGCAACTTTGTTTTTGCTAAATGGAAGCTCCAAAATGTAACATTTCTTGTTAAATTAACAGAAAATATAAAATACTGTCTTTGGCAGAGTCACATGAGCAGGACTGTCTTAGGTCAGACCAGCTGCCTGTGCAGGCCAGTGGTGTCTCCAGTAAAGCAAATTAAGATAGCAGCAATAGGAGATGCTGTCTACATGAGTATATACGCCTTGCCAGTATAGGAGCTCTAGTACCACTCTTTTCCCTGATCCCATACACACAGTCTGATTTCTTCATTATGTAGTACACCACCAAATAAAGGTTCACAATGGAGAGAAGTAACTGCATGAAAGAATAATGAAATGATATTTTCACACAAACCGTTTTGCCTTAGCATTGTGCAGTTCATAGCATTTTTTTAGGCACAGGTAAACTGACTGGACCTTCAAAGTGTCCAGACAAATGAATACAGTAATTTTCTAGTGTCAAAAAGGATCTCTTAGACTTTCAAGTGTATTACATGAAATGCACATACATATGCAGATAAACACATGTCAACACTCACACTTTAATCTCAGTAGGATGCCTACAAACTCTCTACAGTAATTTTCAAAGAGGATAAAGATTAGCACATTCTCACAAGATTCACCATATTTTTAAGTTATTAGATTATGTAAAAAATTCAGCAAGTTCTTCACACTAAAACCTCTTCAAGCAAACATTTCGCAAAATCCAACACTAATCCTTCAAAATTTGGTGTCAAGTTAGAGCTAGGAATACAGAAATGTCAATTACAAACAAGCTATTTTTAGCAAGTCAGTGCCTCACACTGGTTTTCTGCTGCTATGGCGACTTGAAATCTACATTATGAGTTTTTATGTTACTGCTTTCAAGATTATTCTGAGCAAAAAACCTCAAAGTCTACGAATGCGTTACATCTTGTTGCTCTTGCATAAAATAATCCCTATCATTAGCTGTGGCTCTGAAAACAGAAAAAAATTGTCAGATAAGTCATCTGAAGACCATCATAAAATGGAACTATTTTAATGAATGCAGGATATACAGGAAGATAGGCAGTACTCCCATAGCAGAGTATCAAATATTAATGTCCCACTAGACTTGGCAAAATGTCAAAGGGAAATGAAGAAAAATCTTGCCCTTGGCTCCGCTTCACTACTTAAACATCCCTTATCAAACTTCTTATGTGAGTGCATTAGCAGCCATAGCATGCACAGAAGAAGCAGTTAATGTAACAGTTAGAATTACAAAGTGTGCAGATATTGTCTAACATCCACTGGCTTTCCTCTCAGGGAACCCTCCTTTGAGTACAAACATAGTAAAAGAGCTTAGAAGTAATCAAAGGAGATTTACTGCCCAGTTGAAAGTAAAGATGAGTTCCCACAGAACTTCCCCCTCAGTCAAATGAAAGCAAGCTGCAAAGTGTTTTTCCAAAGCTTTTTATTTCCTGACCCCCAACTGAAGTCACAAAACTGGTAACGTATAAAGGTAGCTGTAATCATGAGCAAAGGCCCAACATTCTTCTTGTTCCTGCCTCAGACCACTCTTTTAGGAGATTCAGATAAAAAAACTCGTAAGAGATTGAGATTATTAATTTCTTCATGTTGTAGTTTTAAGATTGATACTAAAGCTTTGAAGATTGTGAAAGGATAGCCTCATGTTACTGGGATCCTTAGGGAACAAATTAGGTGACAACCTTCATCTGCAAATTGACAATTTCAGAAAAGGAAGAAAACATAGCTGAAGAATTCTAAAACTCTGTAACCACAAAACAATTATTATGACCATATAAGTCCAATATCTGCAATCCACAACCACCCTGTCAGCATTTAGTACCCAAATTGGGTTTGTAACCATTTTACTCAACATTCATCACTTTGCTCTACCACTAGGCACATCCTATTTTAGCTGCTGCTTCCATCTATCCCACCTTATAACTCTGTTAGGCTTTAGGGGGAAGCTCCTCTATTGATGCCTAAGCCTTTACTTCCATACCAGAAAGACAAACTTCATCTGCAAGCCTGTGCCATGAAGTGGAAAGAAAGCACAAAACTCCTTACAAAGAGACCCTGAGCATAGGCAAGGTTTTAAGGAGAAACAACCAGTAAAATAAAATTGTGACACATCAGTTCTAAATGCCATTTGTGGCACTGTTTCCTAAGGTTTATATATAATTTCCTAATTTTATATACACATAATAACATATATGTTTTATATACATATAATAACATGCATACATGTAGGTATTTTATATTTTCTAATTTTTATACACATATAATGTATTTATTTTACAAGTATTTGTAAAGACAAGGCAAATCAGATAGTAAATAGGAAGAGTTACAAGACCACACTACATTAATATGTTACAATAGTGTTCTGGAAATTTTGTGATTTCAATAAGGAAAAAACTTACAACTTCTGAATTTCAGGCCATAAGGTATTCTGCAGCAAGTGATCCTCTGATGGAGGTTCTAAAAAACATTTGTACAGTGTTTTCAAATTTGGTACTAAATAATCTAAAAATCAGCTAAATAATGCTTCAAGTTTATATCCAACGAACCTCATTCTCTATTTCCTACAACAGAAATGAATCTCATACCTGTAAGGATCATGGGTTGAAAATAAATCTCAGGATACTGATTCGAAATTGTATTAAATGATTCTTCATCCTCTGCTGGTTGAAGAGCCATATCTCCTATTCAAAGTAAGGACTCCATTAGCTAGAGAACATACTTGAAAGGAGGGAAAACATGAGGACTTATTATACGCATAAAAAGCACGTATTGTTTTTACAATACAAGTAACTGAAACCAGGTTTCCCTGCTTGCAGTTACAATAATATGATTATTAGAAGCTAGTTATTCTGATGCATGTGAGAATGAGATTTCTAAAAAAGATAAAATCTAACCTTCGAGAATGACCTCTCTCCATCAGCACAGGTTCTTTCAGATATTCTTAAAGAAAATTTGATTTGACTGAACAAAGCAGTCACCAGGAGTTCAACCTGTGTTTCCTCAATGTTAAACCTTTCCTTCTATATTTGAAAATGTTTAAGACAAAAATCTCTGACAAAAGTGATGAGTTCCTAAATTTAATGTAGATCCCTAAATGAAAAGCCATGCTTGAGCAAGAGTATCTACACCATGCAAACTTCAGCAAAACTGCTGAAGGCTCAGTCCTTAGCTTCAGGCAAAAGTACCAGAAGTAACTGAAAGTAGTTAATTTTAAGTTAAAATTCAACTCTGTCCTTCACTCTGACAGTATTAAGAAAAAGGTACAGAGCTGGGCAACAGTTTCTCTCAGATGTAAACTACCTTTTTGCCAAATGTACATCTCAAATACAGCAGTTTCAAAAAGTAGGTATAGAAAAAGCAAAAAAAAAAAAAAGATTACTTTCTCTTTCATACTGTCTTCTCTCTCCTTGGAAATGAAATGAGCAACGTTTATCTGAGACCACTATCTGATCATCGGTCACCATGAAGATTCCTCTGCAGTGTGAGAACAGAGGTCTGTGGTGCTTTACCCCAAGCCATTAGTGCTGACAGCATTGGGTGAGCAATGGTGGACAAGGCAGGAAAATTCTATTCATAGGGTTGCTTCTGGGTGGGCCATGTGAAATCAGTGGATATTAGTTATTCTCTGTGAGACGATAGAGAAGGAGGGGTTTTTCTCCTCTCTCAGCAGAAGAACTCATTAGAAAGCATGGGAAAAAAAACTTTGCCAAAATATGTTTTATGAGTTATTTCAAGTATGAGTTGTATTTCAAGTACAACAAAGCTGGTTTTTCTCTCACAAATGGCTTAGGAAAATTTGGCTTATTGCCACCAGAGACCCTGGAGACAAAGCTTATTAAAATGCTTCCTTTTTTAGATCACACCTTCTGAAAAAGCTTTAAGAAGACAAAAAACAGGTCTGACCTAATTTGTAGATTCCACTATAGTGCATTTTTACCAGAGACTTTATCAAAAACCAGACTACCAGTCTCATCCTCACTCTCAAGAAAATATTTTTTTATCACCCTACACAGGTGCTTGTCCCTCCTTCCTTGTTCCCCCACAATGTAATTTCCAATGCCCCTCCAAGAAATTCACCTGGTGCCCCACCAGTCTTTACAGACACAACATTACTTGCTGCTGGTTAACTAATTCTTCCCTCCCAATACTTTCTACAAAGCATCATTTACCTGGAGAAATGGCTATTTTCAGTGTAAGAGAAAATCTGACTGATTCCCCTCAAAGAAGCATTACTTCTATAAGCTTCTACAAAGGTGATAACATTTGAGGAGAGTGTGAAAAGGACTCGAGAATGTAGCCAGGTAGGTATTTTACAGAGCAACTGCAAGTAGTAACAGGTAGTTTTGCTTTAATAACTCTGAACCTAGTTTTCACAGTATGCTATTCAATACTAATTTTTTGACTAGAAGTCATTAGTCTTCTTAGGGCAGGGAGGTGGGGGGATAGTGAGCATGGAAAAAGAAGAAAAACGGCAGGTGAGGAATTCTTATAGTATCCTGCCCTGGCTACTCCCAGATGCATCACAGAAGAGCAATCAGGCTCTCAGGAGCCCTGTTCAGACTGAGTGAGGCTAATTCCTACAGAGGTGCAGGACACAATACGGAGAGCGGAGAAAGCATTTTGGGCTTGCACAAGACATTTGGGAATGTGTAGGGGGAAAAAACAAAGGCAGAGAAAGGGAGAAAAGATCCTCACTCGTGCTTTTATTTTTAAGCACCATATTTAGGTGCTACCAGAGAACTAAACACTTTGCACAATTTTATTTCTAGACTCTGAACTTGCAGTAACGCCTGCACTTACAGACCTACAAAAAATATGTACACTAAAACAATCACTTAAAAAACGTTTCCAGATGAAACATCATAACCATTATTTCTCACTGCCATACCTTCAAAAACAGCTTTATTGGATAATCCCAACGCTGGCACAGTTGCACCTTCTGGAAGATCAGATGACTGCTGAATTAAAAAAAAAAAAGGTTACACACAGATTGTTATGTAGGTTTGGATTTCAAAGGCCACAGTTTAAGAAATATCTAAGAGTTACTTTCCTAGAGAAGTGAAAGGGGAAACTTTGAAAAACTTCCAATCCTGGACAAAACAAAGACCACTACTCCACCAGAAAAAAAAGAAAAAAAAAACAAACAAACAAAAAAACCCAAAACCAACCAACCAACAAAAAACCCACATACCTTTTCTTAGGCCTCAGGTCAAGAGTTTTCTTCATCCCTAATTACAGGTTTTCTTCCAGCACATACATGACAATTAATCTATTAACTGAGAGCACTGCAGATTTTAACACAATAGAACTGGAAATAATTGTTCTGAGGTGAAACAATAAAGCAGCATTTTGGAAAAGAGAGGGGGGGGTTGAGTGCCTGTGACCACAACTTCAAACACAACTCAGTAAATAGCTGAGATGTGGCTAGAATACGTGCCTGTTTAAAGCAGCACAGGGGAAAGACAAATCATCAGTCAGAAATTACTTTTATAATGGTACAGGGAAAAAAGTAAAAATTTAGAAAGGGTAAGTGAACTTGCGGACCTTTGTGCAGAGATGAAAAAGATTTAATAGCTGTAAAATCCCTTCCTTACAGTGTCTGAAAAGTTCAAAGACTGTTTTACAGAATTAAATCAATAATTTAGGTGACAGCTTAAAATTTATTTATATGTTCATAATTAGATGAGAAAACATGACAGACACATACAAGTCTAAGGCCCCTAAAACAAAAATGCCTCTTCATTACAACCCTAAGTATAATACAATCCAATGGATTTGAACTGAATATAATCCTATTCAACCCTTTTTGAACATAAAGGTGGCTTTGTTGGTTTTAAGTACTTTTTGGGGGAAGGCATGTGAGCCAAATTACAAAAAAGCTTACCCACTTTAACGATAAAAAGCTTTCACAGAAAACAATTTCAATAAAGCTACTTAAGAGTAGCTGTATCATTAGAGCTCACAAAGCCTTCCTCTTTAACCAAAGCCCATATGAACACTTTGTGATATCATGAATCAAAAAAACAGCACTCAGACGAAGAGCCGATAAGAAAAGTCTACATAAAAGTAAAATAATGGTATCTGCCATCATTATAAAAGCACAGAGTTTTTTGTACAATGGTCATTAATGCAAATGCTTACAAAGTCTTGTGGAACTAAAGCACTAAACAGCTACTTGTGTGACTTCTTGGTATCAAAAATGATTATACTTGTTTCCCAGATATTTCAATTGTTAAATTAAATTGAAAGGCCAATCCATCTCTAAGACACTGCACAGAAAACACTGCTTTTGAGCAAGAAATCCAAAGAGAATGCAAGGCACTGTACAGAGGCATCTATCTTGAACAAGGTCTGCTCTACAAAATGCAGGGAAAACCAGAATTAGATCTTAATGCAAATGGGGAGCAAAGAAAGGACAGCAATGCAGGACAGCATAGGTACCAACAACTAAGAATTGGAATGTAAAGGCCTCAAAAAAATTTTCAGTGTCAAGAGGAAATTAAGCATGAGCAAGTACATCTTTATAAATATTTATATATAAGAACTAACAACAGTGCTGAAAGCTTTATGCTATTTCCAAGCATACAATTAAAAAAAAAAACCAACTAATAATACCAACACATAACCACACAACAATAATTACATCCAGCCAGGACTACTACACCCGTAAATTAAGGAGAAGCACATTCCCAAGCTTTATTGTTTGCTTAATCCCCAAGTGTGTACAGTGGTCTACATGATCTGACTTATTTAAAATTCACCCACACTCTTTACAATCTTTTGACACTAGGTCTTGCTTGGTTTCAAATAGAACCTGTTTCATATGACAACACCACAAAAATACATATGCAACAACACACATGGAAGTAAGCAGAAGGGAAAGGAAAAACAAGGTTAAGGTTTCAGAATGATTAAAGGAATTTATACAGAGTTTAGTGCAATCTGAAATTTTCTAAAGCATTAACTTTATTTACATCTAAGAGGGTCATCTTCATTTAGCATTTCTTTAGCACACTTACATGGGAGCACAGCTTCTCCATTGAAATACCAGTGATGTTACTGAAATTTTCTATAAAATTCCTGGGAGCACGAAAAACTCGAAGCACTTTTTCATCTGCTCCTGACACAAACTGAAACCGGCCAACCATTGCCAGACAACGCATGTCGTATCCATGAACTTGAGGCCTTGCGATTTCATGCCAGGTTACCTAAATGAACACACACAAAGTTAAAACACAATCCTTAACCAGAGAAGCAGTAAGATTTCAAGTTTGAAAAAAGTACTAATCCTTTACTTGCTAACTTCATTAACATAAAGTAGCCTTCTACTGATGTGCATAAAACTGATGTATGATCACATAACATTAGCTGAATACTAGTTTTCCACCACACAATTCCTGTAATTAGTAAACTGTGTCCCTGCCCAGATGTGTTTAAGGCACTTACTGTGACTTCTTTATGCTAGACAGTCAGGAACAGAACATAAATTGCCTAAGCAAAAGGAGGATTGTATGCTACTACTTTAGAAACTGTAGCTCTGAAAGACCTAAATAAGGTAGTGATAATTACCTTGCTTCCTTCATCTGTCTTTCACAAAGCACAGCAGCACTGCTGTTATCAGGATAAAGGTTCCTACTTCCCTCTTTTCTTTAAATACTTGATTTTAGTGAGACCATTTAATATAAGTTCTGAAAAAAAGCTGTCAAAACCAAAATAGTTTCTTGTAGAAAAAACATCTGGAAAATTATAGAAGTGTTTTCATTTAAGTATTAGTTTTTCCTACTTTTCTATATTCATACCCACTCTTCAAGTTTTAACACAAAAAAACGAGAATTAACAGCTAATCAAAATAGATAGACAAGGTAGTTTTATAGTCATACTAAACAAAGAATATTAGTAAAAAATATATTAAATTATTTAAATTGCTTTTCTAAAAATCTGATTTATTCTACACATGAGAAAAATTTTTTTTCAAAAAGCATCTTTGTTTTCTAGCAAATACACTGTCATGAAGAGATTTTTCTGAAGTGTCATTTGCTACTGCTCCTATATGATACTTTAGTTGGAAAAATACAGTGTGCACTTTAGAGTTAACAGCTAACAGAATTAGAATTAATTTCATCGATTAAAATTAATTTAGACTACTTCAGTATTACAATGCCTGTAGCCAAGACAGAATCTACATTGTACTAGATACCATATGAATATAAACAAAGACTGTTATTGACTGTAAACTGCCTCACCCTAAAAATTCAATTGAGTTTTGAATGCTCAAGTTTCTAACAGGACCTAAATGGGAATTTGAGACATCCTACAAAACCTCATGATTTCACAAGGGCTTGATTACTTCCCAATGCAAAAAATAGCATTCATTCTTAAAAAAAAATAAAATCAAACAGTGCAGAAAGCCCTTCTTACCCTTTACATACTTTAGATCACAGCACATAACAGGAATGAAAAAAAAAAAACAAAAACAAACAAAAAAACCCCCCCCCAAAAAAACTCAAACCCCAAAACAAAGAGACAGCTGCATAAGTCACACAATAAGCTTCTTCCAGAAAAATCAGGATGCAAATTTGCATGACAAATTGAAGCTGACCATTATCCCCCATTTCTGATATTCTGTTATCAGAATTGAGACTTTAAGAAGGGATAATTATTTGCATTTAACACTTAGCTTCCTTTTTATAAAGAAAAACATGAATATTGAGCTGTAATACTAACTCTTCATAGATATATGAACCATTCATTGTGTCTTGTTAAGATAAATATCAGATGTCACCTGTTTTAATTTTTCAGATACTAAACTCATACTAAAAAATCTAAGGCATTTTAAAGGCCTGTGTTACCCAAGTTCATAAGCAGCAAAACTAAATGCCTGGTTTTCAGGGTTCAGAAGTCCTGAACAGACTCCTTCAAATGACCCATTTCTATGTCAACCCTCCACTTCATCTCATCAAAAGAATACTATAGCTTTCTCCCATACCCCATGCAGCAAATGCTGACACTACTTGGATGCAAGGTGGCTGCTCTGTGTCAGAACAGAAAGTATAAGAATTCAGTTCACACCAGATTTATATATGAAGACCACAATCTGTCTGCTAAATCAATTGATTCAGGAGTTTCAGGGAGAGCTGATCAGGTAAATCATACAAAGCTCAGTTCTTTCAGAAATAGGATTAAAATTTAGCAAGCAGCATATATAACAAAGAGTGGTACTTCAGCAGGTCACAGAGAAAGTGATATTGACAATTCTTGAAGGCTGCCAACTTACATCATGTGCTAGTCCTGGACTCTGCTTCACTATGTCAAATCCAACGTACTATCTTTTCCACACACAAGTATTGAGGCCATGTTGCTGAGAACACAGCTGTGTTGGGCAGGGCACGTCTCCAGGATGAAGGACCACCGCCTCCCTAGGTGAACTTGCCACTGGCTGCCGCAAGAGAGGAGCCCCAAAGAGAAGATACAAGAACTCCCTGAAACAACATCTCAGCCTTGGCCATATTGATCAACTGGTCTACTCTGGCCTCCAGTCGTGAGGTCTGGAGACACACCATCTATAACGCTGCTGCTTCCTTTGAGAACACACACAGGATCACTCTGGAGGAGAAAAGACAATGCAGAAAGAACCCTGCCTTGCAGAATATACCACCTAAGGAGTCTTTCTGTTGTGCCTTTTGCAATTGGACATGTCTATCTCGTACTGGCCTTATTAGCCACCAGCGTGCTTGGAACAAATGTGGATGGAGCCTTTCCCAAATCTTCGTTTGCGAAGCCTTGCCATGATGATGATCTTTTCCACAAAGCTGCTGTACCCTCCAGATTGGAGATTAAGGAAAAAAGCAGAGAAGGAAACTGGAAATGCCCTTCCTACAACACAACACTTCTCCACTCCTAGACAGGGTTCCCCCCAGTCCAATGCAGGAGGCGTGAGCAAGCACCTGTGCAGTCCTTAGTTTCTGACTGCACTCACGTAGTTCGGATAATCGTTCTAGTAAAACAGTCAGTCATAAACAAACTAGTGTAAAAAAAAAAACATAGTGAGAACTTTTTATAGATTAAGCTTGTGTAAAAAAACCACAACCAAAGTTGAGTTTCTTTATGATTACCTGCAGCAGTGTTTAGCCAATTGTTAAACAACGGCAACAGATGGTTGTTAGAATCAGCCATATATTCCTCCTTCTGAAATACTGCAGAGCCTTTTCCAAGACCCTGGGAGAAGACTAACTGAAGGTAATCTGGAGGTGAACTCAGGATTAAACAGCAGTCATATGTGATTGCAAAAACTCTGCCATTTAATATTTTTACAGTGAAAACAGGACACATTGAATGGTCAAACCAAGCAATTTTGAACAGATCACCTCCTGGGGATATTTAAGGTTTGAGTTATATTCAGGCAACTTATTCCAAACTCAGGACAGACAAGCCCTCTTAACCAAACTCACAAAATCTTTGAAGATCATACCTGTGTCTCTTCTTTTCTTTTCCATGGAGCAAAGAGTCTAGTAGTTTGATCAGAGCCCACACTGATGATAAACTCTCCTTCTGGATCCCACTTTACATCCTCTACACTGTTAAAATGTCCTGAAATCACAACTTCTGGAGTCCATTCTTTCTATTAAAAAAGTCACCCAAAGAAGCAAGGAGTTTTCACTTGACTGATTGGCATATTCTAACCAAAATAAAAGAACTGATGTACTTTCTAAGAAAGCAAGAAAAAGACATTTGAAAACAGCAAATTATTAGAACTCAAGAGTGACTAAAGAGATACAAATACTGATTTATTGCTCCAATCTAAGAGAAACTTGTGTTATTGGTTCAGTTGTAAACAAAGCACAACCACAAATGAGTTCAGTCTATTCAACTGATTTCATGATTCCCATAGGTAAGAAACAGGTTTTAGAGCCTGGGAGATTTCAACCTCCCTCCTGTGCAGGAGTAAGATTCCTACAATATTATGTTCAGAGAAGGACTATTTCAATCATTAATTTTAAATTGTACTGTTACACTTTTCTATTAATAACAGAAACTTACCTCAAGTGACATAAAAGCATAACTCTTTTAAGTAATACTACTAACAAAAAACCAACATACCTTATTAATCGTAGCCTGTTTCCAAAGGTGTAGTGCTCCATGAAAAGCATGAGCAACGATCATCGAACCATCTGGACTAAAGTGGCAGTCAAAAAATCCAAGAGTATTGCCACCCACTTCACCTACCCGTACCTGAATTAATGAACAGAAGTGAAATATCTATGAAAATGGTCTTCCACTCACAGGAAATCATTCTCATTTCATAAGATGAAAATTTACCTATAGATAGAAGTTCACATTATGCACACAAATACATTTAAAGAATATTTTAATTGCAAAGTTAAGAACTGATCTGAACTTCAAGTTGCTCACTTGTGGTCAAACCAATGGAAATAGAATGTAAAATGAAAGAATAAAAGAATAACAACTTGCAACAAGCTTTACTGCACAACCCATTTTTAGAAGTCTGTAAATTTAGCCACAACTAAGCATTACAACTAAGGACATCAAATGGCATCTCCATGTCATCACTTGATTATGAACTAATTTCTACTTCAGTACAAAGGCACAAGAACTTTTCAGTGAAACAGAGGAAAAATAAATACACTACTGTAATTCTCTCTTTTTCACCCAAGAGAGGATTAGAACTTCCTTTGTGACAGGAAAGATCACAAACAATGGTTGGCATAACCCAACACAAACAATTTCAGCTGAACTACTGCAATTTGGAAAAGCAGGTCAACTGAAAACAAAGACATCAATCAAAGCACTAGAGAAATCTTGTGGTACCACTTGTTTATTTAGGATGTTCCACATTAGAACAGCTTTCAAAATACTACAGTGACTTGAGTATTCAGTTCAAATGGAAGAAAAACCTAATGACACAGCCCATGAACAAGTTATTGTGAGTAAAACCAAGCTTGTGAATTTCGTGTCAGCTGCTCTGTAGTAACTGCTTGGGTCACATTCCCACAAGGATTAACTGCAAATAGTTCAGGAAAGTTTCTTCCTCCTCTTACCAGGACTGCAGAGCATGTGTAACTATGCAGCACCTGTTTTGCTATACTATGAATGACAGTTGAGCACAAATACACCTTATAAACTCTCCAATACAGTAATTAGAGAGCAAAGAAGCGATAAAAATCATTTTGTATCACATTACTTTTTTTTAAATATAGTTTTATTTGCAACACAGCATCAGAGTGAGTATTTTTGCATGAAACCGCTTTTGCCTTTCTCTGTCAGAATTTTATAAAGCTTTTGTTCCCTACAGTACACACACTATACTGAAAACACAAGTTGAATACAGTACATATTGTGAGAAAGACTGGCACTTGCCTGTTCTAGCCAGACTCCAGATTCCTTATCAGGCTCCCAGATGATCACAGTTTTGTCCATTGATGCAGACAATATCCTCATTGGTTGTTGCATGCTGCCACCTACAGTACAAGGAAAATTATTACCCTACAACCTAGGAGAATACTTGCTAAAAAAATTTGGTCATACTGTAATCCAAACAGGATAAGAAAATTGCTCAGCATCAGAGATGTGCAATGCAGTACCTATATGCCAGACTTAAAGCCATTGCAATTCTTGCCAGGCGTTCATTAGGAGGTATTCTATTTTTCAGCCATAATCGCCCAAAGAAAATGCAAAACATGTACATGAGAACAACCGTATTCCACAGTTTACTCACTCCAAACTGATATTGAATTAAATATAATTTGGAGGATAAGCTGGAGCTTCACAAAGAGAATGCATAGCAGTTCTCAGTTCCATTCCTTAAGTAATTTTTTACTGAGAGGTTTACAGTTTAAAACAAAACAATCTCCTAGTATTCCCTGGGTTTTTTTTTTTCCAAACTGTTAGATTCACTACAGATTTCAATACATAAAGCAGTCAGGACTGCTTCCCAAAATACAGTGAAACACTCCAGAAAAATGCTGAACACAACTAGAATGGGGAAGATGAAACTGGCTGTGAAACCTCTGGGAGAACCACTGCGGAACTTTTCTTGATAATAGAGATGTTGGTGGGCATCTCATGATGAGGTGATATCTTATGCCAGCACCAGACCTCCTACCTTCAGCACTGAGAATATGTCTCAGATCAGTCTGCCTCTACTGACAATGTGTTTTGGGGAACCCAAGATTGGGCAGGCCACAGAATGCAAGCAGCTGCACGTATGTAGAAGCCTGATGTAAGACACTTGGAAAACTTCATGGTCTGACAGGACAGTTTTCAAATTGCAGCACAAGACTGACAGGCCTATATTGTGCTCTAAGAGGAAAAATCTTTTACTAGTGTCTAATTAAAAAAAAAAAAAAAGTTTAAGGACCAGATAACTAAGCCAAAATTTTTAAAGCAAGTCCTGTGTCTTTCACTACAGTTATTTTGGCATTCTAATGGCACTCTGCTGTTCAAGTGTTGCATATACACCAATAAAGATGTTGTTCATACCACTGCAGTCAGCTGCCATCAGTAATTCTAAAATATATCAGAAAAAAAGGCAACTTTGCCAGTACAAATACACAAGGGCATTCTGATTGTGCAAGCATGTCAAACCAAGAATCTCCTTCTGTTATACACCAGGTAGACACCTAACAGCAAATCAGTACTGCAAACAAGGCTGTCAAAATTTAAGGATTTTAAAAGAATGATAAATACTAGAATAAAATACAAAATTCAATTTAAAATAACACTTTTTCAATGAGAATCTGCACTAATGCTTTATGGCTAGAGAAAATCAATACTCCAGGAACCCCTGGTATGTTATCTTAATGCATGGAAGACTGAAGATTAATCTTCTGAATGTTGCTATTTTTTCTTTCTACTCCACAAAAAAGAAAGGAGTGCTTTTGAGGTAATGTTTACCTTCTGAAGAACAGACATTTCAAATACATATATAGAAAAAAACTATTAGAGCTATTAATTCATACTGATTAATTAATTCGTACACCATAATCAATAAATCAATTACAGTAAAGTCATTACAGTTCAGTTATTTTATTTCATTTTTTAAAGAAAACCTGAGTAAAAGGCAATATCCATTTACTCATAAAACCTTATTTGCAGAATTAAAAGGTTTTCATAGTCTACAGTAACAAGTGGACATGCAAACGTAATACAAAGGCATGTGACTGTACTCTGTGTATACAACACTTAACACAGTTGCTACGTTTTTGGTATCTTTTTACCTTTGGAAAATGAAGGTTGCCAGTGAACTGCATACACCCAGTTTTCATGACCAGCCAATACCGACTCCAAAGTAATTGCATATGATGTGTCAGTATCTACCAGAAATCAGAGAAAAGCACATTGCTTTCTAAAAGCCACGACAAAACCAGGTCATTTCTGGTATCTTCAGTGAGAATAATCAACTGCTTTCAACGTCTTCCAGTATCTCAATAGCTTATTGACATTGAACAGCTCCTTGAAAACCTACTTTGCTACAAGTCCTGAGTACCAGATTGAAGAGGTCAGTGTATTGCCTCAGAGTGGTACCACAGAATTCCTGGAGAACTCTCCCGCAATTTTGAAATAAATGCTCTGACACTGGCTCTACCCATAGTCTTAAGCATATTTGCATCTCCGAATGACTCAAAATACAAGCATTAAGATACTTCAGACAATGAATCAGGATTTGCAGGAAGTAGCAGGAGCATTTTTTACACATAAAACACATAACATCATACACACTTCATTATATTACCTATGTTGCCTGATAATTTATCCCACAACAGCAGCAATGCAAACCTCTGGTGCTACAGTGCTCAAACAGTACGTTAAACAACCATAAAGTAAGCTTGCACATACTTATCTGTTCTCTCCAGTATGTTTCGAAAGTTTAAGTAATAGAAGCACCTTTTAATTAATTGCATTTGAAACAAAATTAAAGATATGCTATTAAACTGGAGGAGAGCTGCACAACAGCTTACTTCCCACAGACAAACATATGTCCTACATACAGCATTTGGAATACACATAACAGTGCATGTTAATATTAAGCTCTCTCACTGCTTCACCATTGCTTGTAACACATCATTAACTTTACATAGTCACGGCTTTAAAACAGTTACTCCGCTTTTTCTAACAGCTAAAAATAAGCAGTCAAATCCATCTCACAGTCTTTTTATACAAAAAACAAATCAAATTAGATGGCAACCATCTTGTTAGCTCACCTAAAACCATGAAGAGATACACAAGTGAAAAGTTGTGCAAGAGAATTTTACAGCTATTACCTACCTTTGACAGTAAAAACATTCTCTTTCAATCTTATGGAATCATCTTCAGTTTCTGGAAGTTGCTTTGATTTTGTACACACTTTCCAAATTCTTATCAAACAATCCTGAGCACAGCTTGCTAGAAAAAGGTCTTCCCCTGTTTGTTTTCAAAGAAAAAATTAGACCCACATTCTCATTGCTTTTTCATTCAGTCACTGCCATAATTAACCTACCCTCTTTCCAAAAACGTACCTACAGTGTTATCCAAATTTTCCTATTGTACACAATATCAGACAAAACATATTGTGTACAATATCATACAACATACAACATCATACAATATCATACAACATACGACAAGTCGTTTTATTTCAACATCAACTCACTTTCTAATTTCAAACTCTCTATGAATTTATAACACACTGACTAGGAACATGTCCCTGCTTACAAAACATGGAAAACATGGTAAATACTGTACATGTATTGTTCTACATATGCTTCCCTACTACTTATGGTTGTTGCTGTTGGAATTCTACCAATTAGTCTCAATACTTGTCAAGAACTCCTTTCCTCCTTTCTTTTCTTCAGGGTTGGAGCTCCTCTAATTCCATCTATTTTATTTGTGCCAGCTATTTGATTAGTTAACAACTGAAAACATTATTCTCTTAATTTCTTATTCTTAAAAAAAAAAAAAGGAGGGGGAAGCAGGAGAAGAAAAGAGAAAAGGACTATTTCCCCCTACTCTCCCCACTGAAAAAGCAGCCAACTCTTCCTCACTCAGGTACAGATATCTGTTTATTGCTAAAACTCCAATTTGTTTGCATTTAGGTATCAGTCAGGTAAACATACTTGAAGCAAGCAAGAAAAATGTTTACATCTTAACAGGACACAAAGTTCCATCTTGATTTTTAATATTAGTACCACCATCTCAGGAAACCAAACATCACAACTGCAAGAGCTGAGGTGCTACAGTGCATCAAAGTCATCTGCTGGAGGGGTAATACAAGTAGTACTGTCATTAAACCAGTATTCGACTTTATTCATCTTTCATACTGACCACAGACTGCCCACTCAACACCTCTTATCCAATCTTCATGTCCAGGGAGTATTAATGTTTTCTGAAACTGAACAAGAATTCCTGTTATATCACAGAAATGCACTTAATTACTATGCACATATCACCAACGAGCTTTGGTTTTTCAAGTCTTTTATATTTACAGCTCCACTACTTGAAACCGGAAAAAATTCAGCTGCTACTAAACATTTTTGTATACAGATAGATTCTCATAAGCCGTTTTGGTTTTGCCACCATTAGATAAACACGTTAAATTATGGCATTACCCATACATGAGCAGGAAAGAATGTGAATTTAAGGTGCACACCCTCAAGAGGCTACAGTCTCCCTATGATAAAGATAAAATTTTTTTTTATCTTTATCAGGTTTACTGCGGTACACAAAGAATAACATAATGCCAGTATGACCTGACAAATAATTTCTCTTATAATGTTACCATTTTATTTTGATTCAATTAAGTGTTTACTGCTTACTTAGCGTTTAAACCATTTCTATTTTTCTTTGCCCAGAAACAGCTCTTTGACACTTTCATGACACTTTTTTATCCCAAGCTGACTTAAAATGTCTGAAATAACCATTACCGTTAAAACACTAGTGTAGTTTAGTATCAATAAATATCACATTATTTCTGGCATTTATATTCTGCTAAATCCCTTACCTAGGCCTACTAAGAGCTAAGATTAAATGATAGCCTCTGCTATCAGCACAACTCTGCAACTGAGCTCTTTCTCCCTATCTAGGAGCAAAAACAAGAGCCTTTCTCACTGCATGTCTGCTCTTTCTCAAAATCTCTCTCTTCTGCTACAGAGTTAACGGTAATCAACAGTAACTCAGCCAAAGGAAAAATCTGCAGTATGAAAAAACCATACTCAGAAATTGGTGCCTCTCTCATTCACCCAAACTTTCTGATACTCTCCAAAATCACCTTCCCATCATAGTCATTGGCTTCTCCTTGTTCTACATTTGCAGTCACAGAATCTTACAATGATTTGCTTTGGAAGAGACAATAAAGATCATCTAGTTCCAAAGCCCCTGCCATGGGCAGGGACACCTTCCATTAGATCAGGTTGCTGAAAGCCCCATCCAACCTGTCCTTGAACACTTCCAGGAATGGGGCATCCACAACTCTCAGGAATCTGTTCCAGTGCCTCGCCACCCTCACAGCAAAGAATTTCTTTCTAGTATCTACTCCAAACCTACCCTCTTTCAGTTTAAACCCATTGGCCCTTGTCCCATGACTACATGCCTTTGTAAAATGCCCCTAAAATTACAGAACAATCTATATATGAAATACCAAGCTAGAACAGCTGATCAGATACTTCCAAATCAGAAAGTTTTGGTCTTAAGAATGTGTTCTCACGGCCATCTAAGCCTCATTTAGCTTGTCACTTCTGGACTCACTGGTACTTCTGGATGTGGCATTCCAGATCAATATTTATGTTAAGCACGCAACATATTATGTGTAAGTAAAGGCAGGAACACCCCAGGAAGCAAGATCAAACAGCAACCTAAGATTTTTCCTCAAGACTACATGTTTCTGACAATACATTAAAAAACAAATTTAGCAATTCATATTTCAGACAGTAGATAAAACATGTATTTATTTATTCATTTACACCATCTTTGACATAATGCTCTGTATTTTATATTCACCAAGGTAAGCTGGTAAGGTTTTTTCCAAATGAAAGATTGGCTCAGGCTGAACTGTTGCTAAAATACTTCTCTTTTATGGTTCTGTTAATGTTAAACAGTGTGCCCATCTCCTAAAACTTGACTTTAACATTAATCTAAACATACATCTAATAACTTTCCTTTTTTTAATTTCAAGGTGTTGTGGTATGTTTTTTCTCTAATCACCCTCATCGTCTCACATCAAAAAGAACTATTACAAAAAGCAGCCATTTGTTCTTTCTTTAAAGAGTAAAACTAATTACTTTGAGATTATTAATACCACCCCAGGTTTCTAAGTCATTTCCCAAATGGGCTTTTATGCACTACTTAGCTTTAAGTCAAGCATTCAGTTTCTTTGTGCTATAGAACAAGCACTCTTAACCAGTCAGCTAGAAGCCTATTAATTTTTATTTTTACATGCTTACATTGCGTAGTCCCCTTGAACTTGGTGGCAATTCACCTGGTTTAAGTTGGAGGTTTCTGAATTTCATTACCTCATATTCACTCATCAGCAGTAATACTAGCACCAGATGGTGTACGTGGTCCCATTGCTGAGGAGGGATACCCCCATACCTCTGTAAATACGTTCACTCCCTTAAATGAAAAACTCATGGTGCTGTCTTTCCCATTCCTATCACATCACCCTCAGCTTTGCACCTATCTGAACAGTGTCAGTACAGTGGCTGGAAAACAGCGGTGAACACAAGGTCCTTTACCACGTACAGAAGGAAGATGCCACGAAGCATGACTGTGACCATTCCCAGTCATACGATTTAATTTTAGGTAGTCTTGTGAGGAGCAAGGAGTTGGACTTAATGATCCTTATGGGTCCCTTCCAACTTGAGATATTCTATGATTCACCCAAAGTTTTCAAGATATTGTTTCCCATAAAAATAAAAATTGTCCACTGAATCTGAGCAAGCAGTAGTGTTGCTGTTATGCCTTCTGCTAGGGTTTCTTGTATTGTTTTTGCCCTTTTCTTTGAAGACTGTGTTTCCTAGTATCACATATTCAGTTTGTTAGATGTATTCTGTTCTAAAATTGAATCAATATAAAGCTCCTTGCAGATGCATGTGGTCATTATTTTTAAGTGACTCAGTCAAAGTTTTTATTATTGTCTAGGTTATATTCACCAGTATTTTGAGCTGTCACTCTTCTCTTTTTTACAGATTTTGTTTCTATATCTCATATTTCTTCTTCTCTATTTCAGTTTTCCACTTGGTCTTCACTGGTTACATAAGAAGTTAGAGTACCAACAGTTAAATTTAACAAAACCTCATGGTCTGACTCACCTACTTCACAGGCTTTCCCATGCTTCTTAACTTATCTCTGAACATTGCTGCTAAGCAACAATCTGGTCTCTTTTCTTTTAAGCAAAGAATAAAGCTGTTCTGTAGGTAGCAAAACTAATGAAGCCAGTTTGTCTGTGGACGTGCTCAGCACACTCTGAACAACTAATTCTGCCCACACTTGGGGTACATCTTCTTCAGGACCAGGCTAGTAGCATTGTTTGGCAAATTTGGCAACAGAGGTTCAAGTCTTCTCATTTTTTCTGCAGCAGATGCTAGATGTGATATCCCTCTTGCATCTGTATATCTCATCAGATTAGAAAGAGCCTAAATTGTCTTTGAGTCTCTTACTCCACTTTTCAATTAGGCCAAATTATTTGGGTGAAACCCAGTCAAACATGCACTGCACCATCTTCTCCTAGAAGCCAAGCTGAATATAGAAATGTTTTGGTTTAAAGCTCTATCTTGATCCCCTGGTTTACTTATTTCCCCTCCATAGGCCACATCCATAGATATTATACCTCAAGCAGGAAGACATATAATGATTTCTGAAAGATTTTTCCCTGGATACTTTCATAAATCAATACCCTCTTTCAACAAGTCAGAAAAGCAAATAGTTTATTTTTCTCTCTACTACTTAACACAGAAAGGGATCTATGGGTAGGGAATCTTAAAAATATTTAAAGCCTGTCCATTCAATATCATAAACCAAGCAGTTGTTAATGAATAAATGTTTCAACTGTAAAATTAATGAGTTTACCAAAAGGTAGCCTGAATTAGCTAACTGAAGATGCCTCATCCTCCCTCAGCATCTAACAGTGCCCTTTAAGTTTCATTAGAATGCCCCGTCATGAATGTACATTCTGTCTCTGGATTCATACAATTTTTTTTAGGATGTTAACTGAAGTAAGTGGTTTACAAGAGTCACAATTAACAGGACAGAGCCACAAATCCTTACCACTGAGGGAGTAACAGAGTTTAGATTCTAATGACTCTCCTATGCTAAGTTCTAGTAAAAAATGGTGGGACAACGGTAACACTTCCTTCAAATACCTTTAAGAGTACTACAGAAGCCATATAAAAAGGTGTCAGCAGATCTGAGAGAATCTGACTAAAGAGGAGAACCTGCCTTTAGCAGCTAGGAAGGAATTTATGTCAGAAGGCTTGCAAGGATGTTTTAATTCTGTTAGCAATGCACCACACAAGCACTTTCACAAGGAATCAGATTTGGTCTCTTCTCTTTGAGACCTACACAGTCCACTTAGTTAAAAGAGATGTTCTGGAAAGTTAAGATAGGCACCAACAAGAAGTCCCACCTCACTTAAGAGATACTCTGAACACCAACTCTGCCAGAACAGCTGGTGAAAACACTTTCTAAAATTGAAGGTGTGAAAAATAACACATGTAAAATAAGAGAAAATTACTCATCCCTTGTACAAATAAAGTTTTCTACTACTTCCAAAAAAAAGAAAACACTACAAACTTGCTCATGAAGACGAAGATGAAACTTGAATAAACAAGTTACCTTTCTTTATCCTCCACAGACTGACTGCATTTAAGAATGGCTAAGACTACTGCTATACTCAAAAGTTTGGCCAACAATTGGCAAAATAAGTTATGTATCTCTGAACATTTTTGGCAGTCAAATCTATACAATTTGTTAATCTGAATCATACAAGAAAACAAGTTACAGACTCTGAATGAGAAAAATCAACTGCACAGCCCCTGAGATAAGTCTTTCTTTAGCACACTGAGAATCATGTGGCATTCTGCCATTGCTAATTCCCACAGAATTCACTAAATTAACTCACGAGCTAAATAAGAAAAAAAAAAATTTAAAATCTTAGACAGCACCCTTCTTTTCTGCTTAGTGTCACAAAATCACTGAACATAGCAGACAAACAAGGAAGTACTTATTTTATTGATAACAACACCAACCAAAATATCTTATTGTTGTATATGGCAACACGAACTGGCAAAATTATCTATAAAGTAGCTTTAATCTTTCTCAGAAAAAAAAAAAAAGAAGAAAGAAAAAAGGAGTGTCTATTCTTTAATCTCCAAGGGCACTGGGCCTGAACAGATCCAGAAGAATACACATGCCAGTTTCCATGGGGGTTTCTTAGCTTCACTGGTGCGTTGGGGCAGTGCTTGTGGTTTGAGGGGTTTTTTAAGGGAGTGAGAGAGAGAAAAAAAGTGACACTGACTTCTGTTTTGGAAAACAGTCATTCAACACATGCTTTAGAATCTAACAGATGCAAGGGAGGACATAATGTTTTTCTACTGCTCCAAAGGAACATTCATCTGTATGAAAAATTAAAATTGCCAGCTTCCAAATAATACATGAAAAATGTGTGTGCTTTTAGAAGATCAGATACTCCTAAAAATATGTTTTTTGATGTTCAAAAGCATTCAAACATCAAGAGCATACTTAGTGTAAAATTATACTTAGCGTAAAATACTTAACAAAAAAATAAACATAAAATTCCTCAGATATAAATCATAACAGTTTTATTATAAGAATTTATAGACTGAAAGTAATATCATTTCCATATGAACCACTCAATGCATGGATACTTAATAAAGAAGGACAGTTGCAGCTATTTTGTGTCAGTGGGACTAGAAACACAGGCTATCTTGACACAGGGAAAAAAAGTTAAGAAAAACTAACACTTTCATACACTGAATCCAACTTCAATATTCCGTATGTGCATTTCACCATTACCTAGAAAAATGGATGAACTATTTGAAAAGGGGCACTTGTATGTGAGGGCTATCTAGACACAGATAGTACTTAATCTACAGCACATATGAAAAGAAGCAGAAGAAATGAGTAATGTTCTAAGCAAGAGACAAAAACTGCAATTACCTGACCATTCTGCTGTGTGAACAAACTTATTTTGCAGTCGTCACCACCGCAAGCCAGAACTGGTACTGGAAAGGAAAAGAAAGTCTTCATTTTTCATAAAATCTAATACTCTAAGATATGAAAAAAATATAAAGCTAATTTAAAAATTAATATAGTATTAAGAAATATATTACCATCTACAGACAGGCAAGTGTGATACCACTTTTTAATGTTTTCTACACTACATGCCTAACACTATTTGAAATAGGCTAGTATCTCAAGAACACAAAACTCAGAAGTTATTTTGGCATGCAAGTAATATCTGCAAATATTTAAGATGCCAAAAAGAGTAGTTCGCCTCACGCTCCCATATCTGTAGGAAGTTCAAGGTTTTTAATTAATTATATTTTATCGATATCAACAGGTATTTGCTCTAAATAAAGTGGAAGTAAGAAGCAAAACAAAATTACTCAAAACTAATGCAGTTCAAGTTCCCAAATCAACTGAAGTAAGTTTAGGTGAAGTTAGTACAATTATTATACAGCAAATAAAAAGACAGACCAAAAAAGGAAGACAGATCACCACTATCTGTAACCAAGAATATGAAAGCAAAGAACATTATTATAAACGTACTCAAGTCTTGAGTAGTAGTTTACTTCCACCAGCTATCCTAGAAAGTGCATAAACCCCATAAGTCTATTGAATCAAACCAGGCAAAGTTACGTCTAAGGGTAAAAGAAGAGAAGTTAGGCAGTGTATTAGTTCATCTCTCCCATAGAAGATGATAGGGGGAAACAGGTAACCCTTACTCTACTCTTTTTTTAGGACCTAAGGATGAAGTACTACTGCTAGGGACTGAAATACTAAAAGAAAATGAATTAATTATAAAATTATGAAGAAATAAGTTCTCAGGGCTAGACATTCACATTTCTCAAGTCTGGGTAGAAAACAACATACTAAATTCCACTAAAATCAACTATTTCCTTTACTGTGGATAGACCAAGATCAACTTGAATATTCATAATACTTTTATGCTGGATGCTAATTTCCTCTTTCTGCTTGTCCCAAATCTGTGCCTAGTTATCCGCTGTTCCTCTTGCACTTTTAAGTTGCATTCCACATTCTTGTACCTCCATCATTTGCCACTTTTTTCCAACATCTAAGTCACATTTCACCTCCATCTCCCCCTCATTTTACATAGGGCTAAAAGAAATCCCCCTTTGAACTGGAAGCAATGAGCTGTTGTGAAAGAAGACCTGGTTGTCGGGTCCACAGAAACTGGGCAAGAATGAGGTTTTCATCCACAAAATACAATACAATGGATGTTCTTGGAAACAGTCCATTACTCTAACCATATATTTACTCCATGGAATGAAACTTTAATAAAAACAAGGACAGAGTTATGATCTAGTTGCTGTAGCAGACAAATGCAAATAGTTTCACTCAAAAGTTCTATCAAGAAATGTGTAACTGGCAAAAACAGACCAGTATACAGTTTCTAGCTTATTAGAATCTTACTGAGATAAAAGTCCTACAAAGGAAATAAGAAAAGTAAGTTGGATCAGCAAAGCTTTTTCAAGTTCACTTGCTCTTTTTTCCATCTGTTGTAATTCAGTTCTGAGGAGACAATTATTTACTGTCAAAGGCCAAGCTACATCATGGCACTTATCCAAGTGGTAGGAAGAAACCCAGAATGTGACAAAAGAGCTGATCAAGATTTGTAAAATAGTAAATCCTATTCCCAGCATTTTAGAAGCAGAGTTCTGCAGACAACCAACCAAAACAGCACAAAGATCTTCTTCAAGACTCAGAAACAAATGTACAGAAACTCCTCAACTAAGAGACTGCTCAGTAAAGTGCTTAAGCTGTATTCCAGCTGCAAATGACTGGTCAGATTTTCATGAGAAGTCTATCAGCTTTCCCCATTTGACTTCTTCACAAAAATGGGTCAATTTTTTTTTAATAATTTATTTTTGAGGACAATCAGTTAAAATACTAGGCATCATGAACATCAATGCCTTCTGAAAGCTAAAGCATCCATTGTGTACGAATCAAATTTCAATGTAAGCTTTACATTTCTTTGCTTGGTGAAATTACAGGTTACCGCAAATGCTTCTAGTTTAGAAGTGTAGTTTACGATTTTCAGAAAAATAATTCTGTATTTAATTCCTGACTTAAGAAATAAAGATTTTCCCCAAGAGAAGAGATTTTTTTACATCTTAATACAGCTGACAACACAGCCTTCATAAAGATTTCAGTGCAACTCCTGAAGTTTTCATAGATCATTTTTCCCTGAAGCTCATAAAAATTCCAAATTGCCACTACAGATTAATGTTTCTGACAAAATGATCAGTAGAGATATTTTTAATAATATATTTTAAGCTACTTTATTTAGATTTCAGAATTAACATACTTCTCTGAATAAAAGCATTTCTGTTATATGGATGATTATGTCAGGTTTATGGAGAAAACAGAGAACATGACTATGCTATATTAAAAGCCCCTCTATAGATTTCTCCAAGAAACATTTCTAATAGTACATTTGTGGTTCCAAATCTAAACTATTCTGTGACAATTATAACAACACAGTTCATTGGCACTAAAAACACCGAAGTACAGGAATTTTTTTTCTAATTCCATACAAAACCTATGCAAATAACTTCTCATTCGAAAATAGTTTCAGTTCTTCAGAAATGTAAAGTACTCTTTCTCATGTTATGAGCACTGTGTTACTTCGGATAACTAATTTGAATGGGGATGGAAAGAGTCCATAGTAAAGGACTGTCAAGCTCTTAACATAACTTTCAGTAAAATTGTGTTTGGGGGACTTTGGAAGCTTTTCACAGCAAAAGAAAATGCTTACTATTCCACCATTTAAAGAAGCTCCAACTACTCTATGCAATTTTGGTTTCAAAAACATTTAGTTTTAAGAATTAATATGATAAATCTTAATTTAAGGTGTTTCCAAAGCAAATAGTCACTTCTCTTATATACAACATTAAACAGATGCACTACTCTAGAATGTGACTATTTCTTATCTGTACAGTATCATAAATGAAGAAATAATCCATTGCTTTGCAATATGAATGATATACTCATTAAGCTGGCACCACAGATGCTTCATTTCTAACAAAATTCATATTGGAGATAATGATTTTAATTTATCCTCAAGCCTTTTAACTTCATCTCAACAACCATCTGTTAGCACATCCACAGGAGGAAAAGAGAGTGAGGTTTAAAAGCTCTTTACTGGTGCAGACGATGCTTTTGGTATCAGACACACCCTGAAAACAGAGACTGGTATTTTCAAATGGGACAACATATCTTGATAGAGCTTCCATATCTCCCAGAATTATCACAAGCCAAAGAATAAAATAAGCTGGTGAATAACTACTCTGGAGGCATATAAGCAAAACAACATATCAGTGTGAAATGCATTCAGCAAAGAGTTGAAAACTCTAGATACAGTAAGAAAATTTAGTACTTTTTCTCTTGGGACCCCAGCACATCTCCATCCACGTGAAAGACTGTAATGATACTTAAACAAAAACTTAACTTGTGTATCTGGCTTGAGGATACATGTAGCGTAAAAAAAAAAAAAGGCTTCTACATATTTGCAAAAAAGAATGTGCCTGTGGCAGGCTACAAAATCTGAGCATTTATGTTAATAGAAAACTATATAAACTATACTGAACAGTCAGGTTAAACTAGTTCAGCCTCTCAGGTTTTTTCACATTTAAGACTGAACAGGTGATAAGCACTGCTTGTTAATCTGTAATTTTCAATGCAGGCCTGAGAGTTCTTTTTCTGGCTCTTGCCCTTCAATTCAAGAACAAACATCCACAGCAGCACCATAAGGAGTAGGTGCAACTACTGGTGCAGCCTCGCCTTGAGTCCTATGTGCAGTTTTGGGCACCACGATACAAAAAAGACATTAAGCTTTTAAAGAGCATCCAAAGGAGGGCAACAAAGATGTGAAGGGTCCAGAGGGGAAGCCATATGAGAAGTGGCTGAGGTCACTTGGTCTGTTCAGCCTGGAGAAGAGAAGACTGAGGGGAGACTTCACTGTAGTCTACAACTTCCTCGTGAGGGGAAGAGGAGGGGCAGACACTGATCTCTTCACTCTCGTGACCAGTGACAGGTCGCGAGGAAATGGCACGAAGCTGTCGGGGAGGTTTAGGCTGAATATTGGGAAAAGGTTTCTCTCTCAGAGGATGGCTGACAACTGGAACAGGCTCCCCTCAGAAGTGGTCACAGCACCAAGACTGACAGAGTTCAAGAAGCATTCGCACAACACTCTCAGGTACATGGTGTGACCAGGGCCAGGAGCTGAACTAAATGATCCTGATGGGTCCCTTCCAACTCAGCATATTCTATGATCATCCTATCCTATTCACATACAGCATTGTTACCTCCTTTTAAAGCTCTCCGTTTCAAGAGTTCAACTAAAAACTCCATTTCAGTGTCATTTTGAATACACTGTAATCAGTCAGTGTTCTAATTACTAAGAAGAGTTCATTGAAAATCTTTAAATACAAACATCAGCTTAGGTTATTCCATAGAAAACAAAAACTGTGGCATAAGAGTCTGGAGTCAGTCAAGTGAAAATTTGTTTGGGGGATTTCTTAGATTTTATGTTTCCTGCATTGATATTCAAGATGTGCAGCTGTACTTACCATTGCTGCCAGGCAAGAAGGATAAGCAGACATCCATAACAAATCCATTTCCAAACTGTAGAATTTCAATGCATTTAGCTGGAAAACAGGAACAGACAGTGTTGATCTTATTCTCTGTAAGTAATACAGTTGCACTGTCCTTTCCTAATACATTATATAGTTAAAATTTCCCATCCATTTTTCTCTTAAGGAGCTAAAAATCTTCTACACTTTTTAGAAGCCTAAATAATAACATTATCTTCTGTGAGGCCATAGAAATACATCCAGAATCAGTTAGAAGATAAGTCACTATTCTCCACTGAGTATTAGAGCTATACAGCTTCACTGTGATAACACATCAGAAGCAATAAATATTGCAAAATATATCCTGTGGCAACAACATTCACTACACAGGCAGCTACAACTGAATCCATTTGCTAGAAAAGTAGCTAGAGAGATGAAGAAAAACCTGCAAACACCTCTGAGATCTAGAAATGGCTAAACTGGTAAGCCATCCAGATCAAAATAAACAACAGGACAGCAAAAAAACCTCTCTACAGCCGAAGAATTGGTCCCTCCATCTCTGGAACCCAAAACAGCAAAACAAAATGGAAAGGACAGGATTTCACAGTGTTTTCTGGGAACATGAGAAATGTGTTCCAGCACAAGGGACTGAAGATTGGCACCTCCCACCTATCTCTCTCATGCAGGCAAGGGAATGCAAAATCTTCAAATACACCAGATAAGGAAGAAAGTACCTCAAGAGATGCAGTCACTACAACTCAACTAGCAAATAACACTTTAAATCCAGATTATCTACCCTATTTATTTCTTATGTATTTCAAAAAGCTGTTTTCCCATGTGTCCATGCAAGAGTGTAGTTCACAAAAAGGTCAAGATCCTGCTATCCTAAACTTCATTGGACTCAAATCAATAGTAACAAACAAGTGACACCTTTCTAATGCCAGCATTAATAATTGTACTACATAATTTTACTTCACATGCACATACAGCTAGTCTGCTCCCACGTTACAGGGCAAAATGATGGCTCATATAATCAGATTCTGAATACATATTAAAAAAAAGTAAATTTAGCCAACACATCACTGATGAAAAATAAAGGTAAATCATTCTGCAGAACAAATCTGACCCAAGGCTTTAAAAGAGCAATACAGTGTTTTGATGTACCAAAGTCTAAGAGAAATCAACATAGTTGCATTAAAAGATGTTAGTATTTAGTCTATTACTTAAATGGATAAGCATTCATCACTTTTATTCAGCCAGTATGTTGTCCCTAATGTTACAAAAATGTTACCTTCTGAACCATGCCGAGACCAGATTCTCACAGTGGAGTCAGAAGCTGCAGAAGCTATTAGCAGGTTTAGGTCAGGTTCATCTGACTGGTAGAGAGCATCCACAGCACAAACGGCTTCCGTGTGGCCTTTGAGGGGAACGCTTTTGACAGGCTGAACAGAAGAAAATGTTACAAATTTTTAAATTCCAGTAACTTATCCGAGAGAATTTAATACTGAAAATGAGTTCTGTACCTGCAATGGCAGAGCATCTACAAACTATGCTTAAGCTATAGCATATTCTAAGAAACCCAGAGAAAGGATACAGCACATAATGAACATTAACTTGATTTTGCTCAAAGCTGAACAGAATTAAATGTTGCTGTGTACACTATACAAACATCATCAGTCCTTGAGGAAAGTTTGAAACAGCATAGAAGTTAGGAAGAGCACTTTTCCTTCCTTTTTCTACTTCTCTTGCCCCTCACCCTAAGGAACATCTCACAAAAGTCTGGAGAACCTTGGTGAAGGAGAACAGAGAACACAATGAAATAGAAGCACTAGAGCAGCTCTAGCAGCAATGTTTAGTGTGTTCTCACAAATCAAACCAGCTTTTTATTCCTTCAAAATGACAACATGAAAAACAAAACCTCTAAGTCTAGACTTAAGCATCTACTTTCTAAATGAATAAATAAAGGTGATTCAATTTGCAATCTGTTCCTGATAAACACAAAGACCAAAATGACTTTAATTCTGCAACTACCAATCATCCAGCATTTATACAAATTTTATCACAAACATATCTGACATCTCTTTCCAAAACATAGCTTGGTATGCTCCAGCAAGAATTTTTGATCGGTCTGATATAGAATTCTGTCTGTTTTTAAGAGTTTACACTAGTCTAGAACTGTCATTAAAATGTGTATATTTAGCCATATTCTTTTGCAATGATTGCCATAAGGCTGTGCACCACATCAGCATAAAAAGTTAATAAGAAGTCTGTATGTTATCTTAAATAAATGCATAAATAGTTACAATGGATCAGGATCAGAAATAACTTACTTCCAAGAACATTCCCACATCAATTACATTCTCCCTACTATGCATTTCCCCCTACTATGCATTCTTATGCACTTTAAAGTGCCAAGCCTAATCTAGTTTGAGACAGCCCGTGAAACGAGTTACCTACACAGCCATTCAGAAAACAATGCCTAATAAGCAAGATTTTAAAAGTTAGATAATAGAAGGTTTTTTTCATCTAAATTTCAGTTCATTCTGAAGGCTCTATTACACAGGACTCCATCTTTTGCCTTATATTTTACAGTATGAATAATAAGTTAGCATGTCTCCTTTCTTTTCTCAATTTCTCTGACAAAACTCAATTCTTCCACCCATTTTTTAATTTTATTTTTGTTAAGCACCTACCCCAACTTGTATACCATCCTTCTAAGACTACCTACAAACAAACATTACACTGTTGCACAGATTGACTGGAAATCACTAGAAATGGACATAAGGAAATGAGGAAGGAGAGTACAGAAAATGTCAACTCAGAATGGATCTCATAGTTTGAAGATTTTAAGGCGGTTTAAAGAAAAGAGCCACATGACATCAGAAAGCTGATGAGTAAAGAAGAGACAATCAAGATCTTTCAGACATGCTAAACAAATCCACTTGATGACTGATTAGTTAGTTAATTTTCTGATTTGAAAAAGATCAACAATAGAAAAGAGGAAACAACATTTATAGTAAAACACAGCACGACATAATACCAACAATTACAAGGATACACACATGGGATTCAACAGTCAAAGTAAAACAATGAGGTATGAACCAGAAATATGGACAAAACAGATAATTTGAGATTAGTGAGAAACTAGTGAAGAGGGAGTTTTGAAAAGGGGTTACTCTAGCTTACCTGATTATTCCATGTTTCTACACCATTCCAGTCCCAAAGAATAAGTTGTTTATCAGATCCACCAGAAATTAACTCTGTTTCAGAAGCTAAAAAATACGTTTTGGTAAGTTTTGAGAACCCTTACCTTTGTAACAACAGACAACAAACATAAGCCGTTACATTGGTTACAAGTCAGAAAATATCACTGGTAACCAAAGTTTCCATCAAAATAAAGTATGGCTAATAGGAATTGCACTGGGCAGAACAGCTTAAGAGCAAATGTATTACCTAACACAGCATAAAGAGAAAAGTCACAGGAATATTTAAAGTTCTGGATGAATGTGATAAAAATATCTTTCCAAAAGAATGTCAAATCCAACACTGTAAATTAATATTTTGGGCTTTTGTTTGGTCTTTTTGAAGGATAGGAAAATACAGCAAGAGAAATCTAATCAAACAGAATTCAAAGGTCCCACATGAAAATTTAACTCCCACATTCCCTGAAAATAATTTCTTTTAATCGGTTTTAAGAAGAATTTGTTTTAGTGCAATCAGTTGAAGGATGGCAGGTCTTATGACCATTAAACACTAATGTTTTCACCTCAGTACATCTCCTCCAAAAAGGCAACCTGCACATTACATTAACAGTCTAATCAATGGCCCCATTTCTCTTTGTCAGTAATTTTCCATAAATGTCTAAGGGCAAGAATAAGTGCCTTTGAACAGTGGACTAAGCAACGCTAAATCTTGGAATTACTATCAAGCAAAAGCCTCCTAAGTGTCTCAAAGATTCCTATCCATCTAAAGATCATAGTTTTTCATGGATATGAACTCTATGCAACTTAGAACTGTATAGTCAGAGATTGCTCATAAGGCACTGAGAATCAGTTTACAAAGTTAAAACAGGCAAGACTCCAAACCCTTACTAAAGAGCCCGGTGGCAGCTCAAGCAGCACAGCCACCAATCTCTCAGGAACACTGCAGCCCTGGGCAATCATCCTCCCAGGGCGCCCTTGGCTGTGAGGCTGGAAGCAGACAGCCCAATCAAATCCCCACACTCACTGGGAAGCTCACCTGGGTTTGGCAAGTTACATTCCTGTGAGGAGTGATGTCAAATTGAGGCCACACCTCGAGTACTGTGTCCAGTTCTATGTCCCTCAATTCCAGAAGGACATTGAGGTGCTGGAGCAAGTTCAGAGAAGGGCAATGGAGCTGGTGAAGGGTCTGGAGCACAACTTTATGAGGAGCAGCTGAGGGAGCTGGGGTTGGGATTTTTTAGCCTGGAGAAGAGAAGGCTCAGGGGGGACCTTAGCTCTCTCTTGCAACCACCTGAAAGAAGACTGTAGCCAGGTGGGGGTTGGTCTCTTCTCCCAGACAGCTAGTGACAGGATGAGAGGATACAGTCTTAACCTGCATCAGGGGAGTTTTAGGTTGGGCATTAGGAAGAATTTCTCACAGAAAGGGTGATTAGACATTGGAATGGGCTGCCCAGGGAGGTGGTGGAGTCACCGTTCCTGGAGGTGTTTAATGAAAGATTGGACGTGGCACTCAGTGCCATGGTCTCGCTGACGTGATAGTATTTGGTCATAGGTTGGACTCAATGATCTGAAAGGTCTCTTTCAACCTAACTGATTTTGTTATTCTGTGAAATACCTACTGCAAAGCCTAGTTTAAGGCGAGAGGATACGCTGCAACTCCCCATTTCCTTCAGTTTACAGCGCAGCCCCTCCGTTGCCGGCCCGACCCTCCCCTACGGGGAGAGCAGCTGCCCGGCCCCGAGGGGAACCAGCTCCGAGCCCCCCGCGGCATCCCACACCCGAAGAGACAAGGGTTACTCACCGCGGTCCCGCCGGCGGACCCAGCGCACGCAGTTCACCCTGCCGGCGTGGCCCCGGAGGGTGGCGGCCACCCGCCTCGCCTATGGGACACAGAAAGCACCGACGTGAGGGACCGGCCCTGACCCGGCCCCGGCCCCGGCCCCGACCCCGGCCCCACCCGCTCCACAGCCCCATCAGCTAACCGCAGGGTCGTAGAGGACAACGTCGTGGCAGCTGCCGAAGGCGAAGAGGCCGCCACGGCCCCAAGATACGGCCCCGCCACCCGCCCGGTTGGCGCAGCAGGCGACATGACAGAGCGACACGGGCGCCGCCATCTTGGCCACCGCCGCGTGCGCGACCCCGCGCGGCTCCCTTGGCAACGACCCCGCGAGGGGCGGGTCCGGGGGAGGAGCGGCCTGGGCAGCTCCGGGCGGATCAGTGTGGGATGCTTGGGGTGTTTTTGGGGGAGGTCTTAGTTTTAATCTTTATTGCACCTTTTGCCAAGCGCTCAGAGGTGTAAAAGGTTTAAAACTTTTCTGTTTGGCTGGAGGAGGGGGTTTTTGTTTGTGTGTATAGAAGTTACAGAATCACAGAATCGGGATGGAAAAGACTGAGGCCATGGAGTCCAACCTGTGACCTAACACCACCTTGTCAACTAGACCATGGTGCTAAGTGCCATGTCCAGTCTTTCCTTAAACACCTCCAAGGATGATGACTCCACCACTTCCCTGGGTAGTTCATTCCAGTGTATAATCACTCTGTGAAGAAATTCCTCCTGACGTCCAATCTGAACCTCTCCTGGCACAGCTAAAGACTGTGTCCTCTCATCCTGTCACTAGTTGCCTGGGAGAAGAGGCCAATCCCCAACCTCCTTTCAGGTAGTTGTAGAACATGATAAAGTCACCCCTGAGTCTCCTCCAGACTAAACAACCCTAGTTCCTGCAGCTGCCCCTCACAGGACTTAGCCTCTAGACCCTTCACCAAGTTGATTCCACAGGTACTAGGAAAGAGCTGAGTATCAGAGATCATGTCATTGTTAGCCATTTCTAGTCTGGTTCAGTCACTTGTGAAGCCACCTTCTGATAAGGATTCATGCTTAAATTAAGTCACTGACCTCGGGGTGTGTTTATTACCATGTGTATGATGTCCTAAAATTAGTGTCACAGAAAGCAGGAGAATTCGCAATGAGCAATGGTCAGGGCCCAGACGGGTGATCTGAATATGTTTGAATACCTCTGTTTTTCAAGAAAGGATGTGCTTGAACTGCATCAGCCATTTGGCTTCACAGGCTCAAGGGTTTTGCCAGTTCCCAGTAGCTACAGGTGCAACCTGCTGCCCCACAGGCTGTGTAGGAGTCTCAGTAGGACCTTCAAGACCTCCACTCTGCCTCCAAATGCTCTGCACCACACATGCAGAAGGCCCTGGAGTAGAGGCCAGGCTGAAGTATAAATGGAGAACTCTGCAATGAAAGTGTGGAAAGGCAGAGAAACAGAGATGTGCTTCCTGTTCCCAAATCGCACCTGGGATATCCTGAAATAATTAAAACTGAACTGAAAAGCTGGAAAGCCTGGGCTAGAGGTAGAAGTCATCTCTATGGGGCTGTGCAGGGAATGAGGCAGGGATCAGGAAGAGAAAGCAGAAAGCAAGCAGACATCCAGAAGAAACACTCTGCATACCATAGGGAACACTTTGGGCCCTGAAACTTTCCTGCCAGGCCTTCATCTCCCCATGTGCCTGTGTGTTCTTGAATGCTGGCTGTCAGCAGCGCTGTAACCTGACACAAAAACGTTCCAGCTAGGCACAGTTTTTTCCAGAGGGTATGAGAGGAAGGAAGCTGTGCCTGATCACACACAAGATACAGCCAGAAATGTTAGCTGCTAAGGGAACAAATGACTCCTTGCAGAAAAATGCATGGATCTAGTAATCAAAGCATGCTTTAACTGAGGAGTGCTGTCCTGAGGTGCCAAGGATGGCTGTACAGCAGTCAGGTTGCACAGCAACCCTCTTCTCAGCAAGCCCTGCCAGGGTTGGAGTCAGGGCTCCGGCAGAAGGAGGTCGGGCACTGCCAAAAAGCTGGGTCATGTTATAGGAGTTGCCTCTGTTGCTGTGGGAACAAAGCTGGCTCTGACTGTGATTGTAGGCATAAGTGTAGGCTTTTCCAAGATGGATTGGGTGAGGGATTCCTCTGTGACACAAAAAGTTAGCTCAACTGATTGATAACCCACTGCTGCTGCTGTCCTCTTGGAGAGGTTTGAGGTGCACATTATGCTGGAGGGTGCAAGGGCACTGTACCTCCATGCTGCAGGGTTTTGTGGCACTGGTCCTCTCATTCTTAGGCCACCACCTCGAGGATGGTGCTTTCCCAGCCAATTTGAGAGAGCACATTGTAGAGGGTTGCTAGTGCCAAGTATTGCCACTGATTGCCTCCTTTCTCCAAATAAAGGTCTGTCGCTACGACCTTGTGTCACTCCAATACTGCCCAGCACTGCGAGAACTGGGATAAATCAACACAGATTATGGACTTGAAAGTACCATGAGGAATGCTGTAACAGCACCATGGCAGCATGGCCAAAAAGCGCAGGAAGCTGGATTTGTGTCAGGACAGATCAGCCCAGACAAGCCTCATTTCTTACTTTTTGTAAGTATTATGTCTGACCAAGTCCTCATTCACGCGAGACCCTGAGCCTTGGGTCTAACCCAAGAAAGTTTTTTTGTGAATTCTCTTGAAACTGAAATATCTTGAGGATAGTATATGAGAAGTTCAGAATATTGGATAATTATAACAGAACCAATATGCCTTTTAGGAATGTGCTTTATAAGGAATTAATGGTGATGGTCAATGATGTTACAAGGATGAAAAAGGACTAGTCAGCAACAGCCAGTCTTCATTCATAGCTAATGTCCTTATTCAATTAAAATCTGTCCTTGCTGTTTTCCTTCATAGTCCTAGAAAATAACTTCACTTTTCAGAAATATATGTAAAAATAATCTTTTGCTTTTTGCCACCTTTGGTGTAATTTTTGAGGCATAGGAAGAGCTCAGTTCATTGAACAACAGAAATAGTTGCTGTGGTGCCTAAGCAGACTTCAAAAGTCACTCCATAGCTTTATTCACATCTTTTACATGTCCCAGTTTGGTTCTGCCAATGGAGTTACATCAACAAACTCCCATAAGGGAGTTTGTACTTACACTGACAAAAGGTTTCCTGAGCTTAAAATAAATTTGCTAGTTAGTTAGATGTTGGAGTAACTTCAGTTATTCCGTTATTGGAATAAGTTTGTTCCAATAGTAAAATAGTAGCAAAATAGTAATTTTGATGGTAAACTCATCTCTGCAAGACAGGTTTTGCAGGCAGAGGTGGCTTAGTGCTCTTCACATGCTCCCTACTCAACTCAGTTATGCTTACATCTTTATGATAGAGACTGAAAAAATACACCAGTCAAAAAGTTATATATAGTATTTAATATATTTATCTATGTCTAAACATTGAGATGAAAATATAATAACGTTGCAAATGCGTTTTCATTTCCTGCAGAATGTTTCCAAAGCATGTTTAGCATGTTTAGCCTCATCTTTCTTTTCTTGTTTTCTGAGGAAAATATGGTGTTGGATATAAATTGCATGTATTATTAATTGAATACATGTTGAGAAGAACTCTAGTCTTTGCTAGGTTAAATCAAAGTTTTATGCTTTCTGTTATTGGGTGGAGTCTTGTTGATGTAGAGGAACACATATTAATAGACAGGAGTCATCACACATGATACTATGAAAAGCAGCAATTGCATGTTAGGTTTAAAGTTATATGTAGTTTAATGCTATAGAAGAATGTTCAAAAGTTGCTAAATTAGCAAAGCCAAGTCCTCAGAGGTTGGGAGGCCTTGTTCTTGTAAGTTTTTGACCTTAGCCTATCTTTATGTGTCTTCATTGTATACTTGCCTTATGAAGTAATTCCTAATGCAGTTCCCTCATATACAAGTTACTGCTTGCTATTTTTACTGTAGGTTGCTTGCCTCCAATATCAACCTGGACAAATAGTGTCTGGAGAATAAGACAGCTATTCAGTATTTTAATTTCTCCTCATTAGTTATATCATGGCTGTATAGTAGTCTTAGCCCAGAATTATCTTTTTCCTAGTAGCCTTCTTCTACAGCCACAGCACCTGAATGTCTCAGGAAAAAATTTACAAGTTACATTTTTTCTTTATAAGATAACTGTTAGGCAGAGGGGTATTATTATATTCATTTTCTGGGTGACAATTTTTTCATAGACCAGAATTCATAATAAAATCACAGACTCATACAATGGTTTGGGTTGGAAGGGACCTTAAAAATCATCTACTTCCAATACCCCTCCCATGGTCAGGGACACCTTTCACTAGACCAGGTTGGTCAGGGCCCCATCCAACCAGGATTTGAACATTTACAGGGATGGGGCAGCCACAGCTTCTCAGGGAAACCTGTTTCTGTGCCTCACCACCACCACAGTAAAGAATTTCTTCCTAATATCTAACCTAAACCGACTCTCTTTCAGTTTGAAGCCATTCCCTCTCGTCCTACCACTACACTCCTTGATACATAGTCCCTCCCTCTCTTTTCTGTAGAAATCCCCCTTTAGGTACAGGGAGGCTGCTCTAAGGTGAACCCAGAGACATCTCTTCTCCAGGCGGAACAACCTCAAATCTCTCAAGCACCATATATCTTCAGTGATGAAGTGCCTGTTGTGGAAGACAAAGAATAACATCCAGAAGAGGAGCAAACCACCCACAGCATCCATTGCCTCCAGCTTGGATTGAGAGGCTTGAATTGAAACTTGGAAATCAGATTCCAGCACTGGGGCACTTCTGATGGCTTGCTTGGGGCCAAGGTTTCATCTGTGGGATCAGAGCAGGAACATTGTGAAAATAAATAATAAAAAATAGTGACCAAACCCATAAAGACGAGTTTAAATTACTTCCAAGCTTCACAGAGGATACCCCATACAACATAGAGAGGCTAGGAACAACTCTCTTGCCTTTGACATGTTGAGTACAGATCCAGCCTCTTCCTTTTTGCCAGCTGTGAGATCTACTTTGGAAGGCCATTTCAGTGCATGAGGAATACTTATGGGCTTGCTGGGATAAAAAAAGCAGATATTGTCACTTGAATAGGTTTAATTTAAAATGTTTAGAATAAGTTTTTAGAAACAATTTCTCCTTTAATTCATCTCACTGAAGACTGAAATCTGAATGATGCTGGTGAAAGAAGTTGAACTGAACAAATCTTAACTATAGCTATTTCCATTTTTCTTGAAGGCTGTATTCTAATTATTTTATGAATAGCTTACATCCCCGCTGCCAAAATGGGTTTCTGATTTTCTAAAGAAAAAATAAATTAATTATTTAGAAATATCATTCAAAATTAGTTCTCCAAACAATGATTGTAATTGCTGGCTGAAAGAAATTCCACAGAAAATCTCTCTGATTTTCTTTTTAAAGGAAGACCTAATGCAAACATGACCTAGAAAATTGCTTAGGGAAAAAAAAAGAGAGAAAAAGGATGAAACAGCTTGTCACATAATCCAATTGATTATGCATTATGTTTTTGAAGCAGAAGCTCTAAAAAGAGACATGATAATAGGCATTCATTCCAGAGGGTGTACGTGTATAAACACACACACACATAAAAGAAAGAGTATGTGGAAATGCCATCTGGAATACTTAAAATCATATTTTACACTTGCATTCTGTATGTAGGTTTGGTATGGCTTCTATAGGATATTGTTTCATACCATAGAATAATATCTTCCAAACCCCAAAATAAATTGGGTAATAATCTCCTGACACATTTCTTCATTTTGAAAAACCCAAGCTTAACATGTTGAATTATGGTCAATGGATTATTTTATTTGTACACAAACATATATATATACACACACACACATAAATATATATGTATGCAACAACATCCACTGCATATATATTTATAATGGATTTGATCATGAAAGGTTGTTGCACAAATTATATGATATTTAGTAATCTCCAGAAGGATAAGCCTGATCCAAAGCCTTCAGCAGCCAAACAGATTCCCAGTATTAGATGAGGCTGTGAGTCAGGGATCTGGTTACTGACACTAGGAACTGGCAACTTTTTTAAACTGTATGATAATGCCACATTTCCCTGTTCTTTTTCACTGTCTCACACCTGGTACCTTGGTGAGCACAGGTAGGAAAATTAATAACCTTCTAACCTTCCCATCTGGAGCTGTCACGGGTTTCAGCTAGGAGGAAGCACAAACAGCATTACAAATTTGTATGAGGAAATCCCCATTTCCAGTGCTAAGTTCTCAAAGGCAAACGTCTGCTGAGTCTCAGAGCTGCAGGGGAAAGAGGAACATGCCACAGCATATTCAATACTCATACAGCAGCCTGCTTGTGTTGGGTCATACTTCCTCTTCTAGGAAAGGTAACAAAAAACTCTCTAATTTCTGTCAAACTACAGTTTCCTTTTAAAAATTTGGGGGGGGAGGGGTGTTCTTTTTTTTTTTCCTTTTGCTATTGGTGTGTATTGGTGTTCGAAGTTTCTGTAGTAGACAACAACTTCTCTGGAGTATTTGATAAACTGCTATACCACAGGTTATAGATGAAGTTGTAAGAAAGGTTTGAACCTGTCCTGATGTAGTGGCCACAAAGCGCCCTGTGCCATTTAAGTTGGAGTTGGCATCACAGGTGACTATTGTTTTTCCCCTGTCACCCACAGCAGAACACAGCTTGGGCAAATGCCACAGGCAACAGAGGAGAAATAAAAACAACTTTATTTTGAAAGGCGGACATATGCTTTCTGTTTAATATGGCTCAGCTTATATAAGCAGCTCAGAAGAAGACTTCATACCACACTAGCATTAAGAAAACATTGTTAATAAGAAAGATGTTTCCTACAGAGATATAAGGCTGAATAATAGTTGATGGGAAAGAAATTCAGAAAGTAAAAAAATTGACTGAACACAAGCAAAAAAAAATCCCAATGGTAAATCAATCAAAGTATCCCAGATTAGGAAATTGCAGTGTACTGAACAGGAACTTGTAATACCTCTTCAGATTTAAGGTAGTGAGAGCTGCTTTGCACCTAAATCTAGAGTTCAACTTCCTTCTTCTAAATAACAATTCAAAAAAACATACTCTTTGGACTTCTAGTTAGTATTTTGATAGTTAAAATTGACTCAGTGGATAAAATGGAAAAAAATGAAAATTAGTTTGCATAAGGAAAACACCATGAAATGGAGAAAATATGAAAAGCTACATTAGTTTAACCACTTGGAAAAATATATACAACATAACTCAATCTGGCATTTCCAAGCATATGAGTTAACTCTCATGTGCTAAAGTGTTTTAAGGCAAGTTATTTTGTTTTAATTTTTATTTGTTTTCATTCATAAACAGAACATTTAAAGAAGTAAAATACTGAAGCAAGCATGTCTAGAGAATGAGGGCAAAAGCAATCTCTGCACCAGTGAGCCTTACAGGACATTCTGCAAATAGCTTTGCATGAAAGAACCAGGCAGAAGGGGCACCTACCAAAAGCCTGCAGTGCACACTGAAATTCACTCATGAGAATCAAACTTCTGCACACTCAGCAATAATAATACTCTGACAATAGATGCTTACCTTTCATGCTGCATAAACTGTCAACAAAACCAAACTTACACAGGGCTAGAGTGAATTTTTACATCATTTTGAGGACATAAAAAGATCTCATTTCATGAAGGAATATTGGCAAGGTAAATTGCAATTTTCCTCATAGTTCCTTCCCCAGTTCTCCCATTTCTTTCATCCAAAAAGTCCTTCATCCATATTATCAGCTACAGCAAAACTTTATTGTGCATCAGACAAACAGGTGAAGAAACTTTCATCCACCCACTTTCAGTCCCACACTATTCCACGTGTCTTACTTCAGACTCTTGAAGCTCCAGTGTCTCCGAGAAGATCCAGTCCCTCTCTTTCTCATCACCCCTGGTGCTGCAGTCTGCTGACCTACTCCTGCAGCTTCTTAACTTGGTGACACAGATCTTCAATGAGGACACATCTACTACAGGCTAGAAGACCGTCTCCTGCTGCCCCAGCCTCAGTGAGAGGCCCTAGGCATTCCCTACAGGCCAAGACATGAAGAGGCCATTCCCTACAGGCCAAGACGTGCATCCTCCTGGAGCTCTCTCTGGGTCAAGGCCTCTGGCCCTGCTTAAGCAGAAAAAGGTTGGACAAGACAAATTTCAGATGTCCCTTCCAAACTCAGCTGTTCTGTGATTCTATGGGTCTGTTACAGGGAAATCGCTCCAGTGTCTGCTGGGGACTGTATCCTGCCGTGCATCACCACCATTGCTGAGGACATGGATGCGGTTCAGAGCAGAGTTGCTGTGTCCTTCTGCACAAACTGTTAAACAAACTGCTGCATCCATTTGCTCCCTCAGTCACCTCCTTTATGAAATGTTTTCCTGCTTTTGCAATTTGTCCTTTCAGTAGTGTTTCTTTTAATAGCAGGAGCTGGACCTTCAGAGACCCCATCCAGCCTAAACCATAGCGTAAGTCGCATATTTGCTCGAACAGGTGATCATATTTTCAACAGACATTGAATTCTGAGTTTATTCAACTCTTCTTCTCCTTCTGTAAAAATGTGGACAAGTCTGTAACACATTGAGTGAGCAATTGGCTGATGGATCAGGCTCAAAGAGTTGTACAAAATGGTGTTACATCAGGCTGGTGGCCAGTCAGCAGTGGAGTTCCCCAGGGCTCAGTTTTAGGGCCAGTGCTGTTTATTGCTACAGGAACCAAATATAAACTAAGTAAGCTTGCTGAAGTTGAATCCTTCAAGAGCAGAGAGGCCTTATAGAGAGATCTGGATGGACTAGAGAACTGGGCAACCAACCGTATGAATTTTAAAAAGAGCACGTGCCAGATTCTTCATCTGGAACAGTGTAATCCTTGTTATACAAACAAATTGTGGGGCAGACAGGCTGGAGAGCAGCCACACAGAAAGAGATCTGGGAATTTTGGTTGATGACAAGTTGAATGTGAGTCAACACTGTGCCCTGGCCACTGGCTTTCTAGCCAGGAGGGCCAACATTGTCCCAGGGTGCATCAGGCAAAGCATCACCAGCTGGTCAAGGGAGGTGTTTGTCCCACTCTGCGCTGCACTGGTGCAGCCTCACCTCAAGTCCTGTGTGCAGCTTTGGGTGCTACAATGTAAGAAGGACATCAGACTATGAGAGTGTGTCCAAAGAGGGCAACCAAGATGATGAAAGGTCTTGAAGGCAAGCCTTCAAGGAGTGGCTGAAGTCTCTTGGTTTATTCAGTTCTGAGAAAAGAAGGCTGAGGGGTGGCTTCATTGTAGTCTACAACCTCCTCAAAGGTGGCAGTGGAGGGGAAGGTGCTGACCTCCTCTCTCTGGTGACTAGAGATAGAACATGAGGAAATGGAATGGAGCTGTGTCAGGGGAAGTTCAGATTCTTCACTGTGATGGTGATTGGTCATTGGAACAGGCTCCCCAGGGAAGTGGTACAGTACCAAGCCTGTCAGAGTTCAAGGAGCATCTGGATGATGCTCTTAGTCATATGGTGTAATTTTAGGTAGTCATACGAAGAGCAGAGAGTTGGACTAAATGAACCTTATGGGTCTCTTCCAACTTGAGATATTTTATGATCCTTTTCCTAGTCTCTAATTACATACCAGAAACTTTTTTCCTTCTCATCTCCTTTTCCACTCTCCTATTCACTTCCCTGTTGCCCTAACTTCTGCACTGTGTTCAAGAACCAGCAATCCTGAACATCCCTGCTCTACTGGGCCTTATGCACAGGGCTTGAGCAGCCCATTTTTTAGTGTGAGGAGTCGCATTAGGAGGGAGCTTGCTGTCCCACACCAGCCTCAGCTGTGCTGGGGTCTGCTAGGATGGAAATAACCTTCCAACCTGTTGGAAAACT